TGAGAAAACGAGTACAGAGGGAGAGAGCAAAAAATGGCAGCATATCCACGGAGTGAATGATGGAGAGTGGGGCGAAGCATTCGTCCTTCCATGCGTCCGTCTGTGTGACCGTCCATGCGTCTGTTTGTGCGCGCGTTCCTGCGTTCTTTCGTGCACCCGCCCCTGCGTCCGTTCATGCGTCCATCCATGCATCTGTTTGTGTGTCCGTTCGTTCATCTATTCAACACTCCAAGTCCCACCATCTCGCATCTTTTTATCATATATTCCCCATATAGAAGCACCGCCATCCAGCGTACATTCCAAGGACTAAACGAGAGGTGGCACACGCACACTTTCTTACGGCCTGCGCTTTGGGTCCACTTCCCACCTTTAACCACCTCGAGTTCATGGTATATTCTAGTTCACTGTATTCATGGCACTGCGACCAAACGCTCGCTAAACCTTTCGAAAACCAAGGAGGTTACGCCCAGCGAGTATAACGTAGCAACCTTTCCCTGTCAGATAGGGCTCAATTTACATGCCAATGGCTGCTAATGAGAAATGAGAGACAGGAGAATTCGGCTTTTACTTTCTTACGGCTTGCGCTTCGTATCTACTTCTCATTTTTAACCACCTTGAGTTCATTCATGGTATATACAAGTTCATTGTATTCATGGCACTGCGGCTCAACGCTCGCTAAACCTTTCTAAAGCTAAGGAGGTTACACCCAGCGAGTATAATGTAGCATCCCTTTCTTGTCCGATAGTGCTCAATGTACATGCCAATGGCTCCTAATGGGGATCGCAGCGTGCGCGTTGACTAAAAGCCGAATGCTCATGTCTCTCATTCCCCATTAGCAGCCATTGGCATGTACATTGAGCACTATTTTTTATTGCTAAACAACGCACAGAAGAAATCTCTCACTGGCACCACCTTGGAGGTCAAGTGTTATACCTATTTCGGGTATGTGCCACTGGTGGTTACATACGAGGGACGCCCAAGCCACGCCATAAGGAGCTTCGCCCCTAAAAACCAGAGACAGAAAGACAGGGAAGTATACAGAAAGATCGAAATTTTCGCCGAAAACTAAATCGGAAATACTTGGGGTAGCAATGCAAGTGCCACAAAGAATAGGTAAATTAAGACAACAGGGACATGAAGGTACAGGAAAATAAACCATTGCAGCAACTCTAGAACGGAAAAAGCTGCAGATTATTTTTTTCTAACCATTTTATAACTAATTATATATTCATTATATATACGATTCACATGTGATAACTTTTGTCTTGGATGATCCCCCAGGGTCGGTGAGAGCCATTCGCATAGGCCATCATAATCATGGTTATAAGGAAACACAGCGCATCGGGGGGACATAAAAGGTGCGAGGTGCTCCGAGGTGTGCGCAAAGGTATGACGGTTCCTGGTCTTGTGCGTTTGGGAACACACTGAATGGTGCACATAAAGTCAGAAGTATACTTAGCACTATATAAAAGTCGATCAAAGAACTTAGGGACGTCTCACACTGGGCTCTTTTTGGAAGAAGCTCTAAAAGGCCTTGTGGGATGTACATGTCTTGAGGTGACAATAGTACAGCAAAATGAGGCCAGAAGAGAGGCTTTAAGGAATATAAAAAGGTGTAGATCGGCGTAGAAGGTGTTCCAGGTGGTGTATACAGGGCTTGAACCTACGTCATTTGACGTGACTGCTCTGGGTGTTTCGGCCTATTGGTAAACGGTGGTTAGACCTCGTCCACCACCGTGTCGCTGAACTGTTCAGTTTTTCCCTCCACTATGGAAGTCCAAAACATTGATGGGAGCCGACAGATGTAAACACGCGGCGGAATATGCAGAAAGGACAAAGGAAATGCCTCAGGCAGGCTGGCCGACATTTCGACAGGAGGGCCTATCTATGTCAAAGGCGCCTTGGCATCCCTTATGTGTTAGTATTACGAAAGTATTGACGTCATCTCCTGTGGTGGCACGTGTCCATGCTGGTAATCGCCGTCTGAGAATTAAAAAAAAATGTGTAAAAAAAACCTTCAGATTTTTCAGTACAGGCGGCGTCCGCAAGAAAAATTTCACGTAGTTTCTTTGGAGAAACTGCGTGACAATTTCCTGGTGTTCATTCTGCCGCCATTTTCGTTACGCAAAGTCAGTTTATGAGTGACTATGCGGTCGCGCGCATATGCATGTGTTCGTTGAATGAGATTTCGCTTCGGTTGCCGAAAAGATCATTCGGAGACGGGCTACAGTGGTGATATGTTTGCTAATTTCAGCATTCTGTACGTGCTGGTTATCATTTTTTTCTGCACTGTTTACATTGATCTATCTATGGACCTGATAGCTTCACCAGAAAGTTCCTCTACAGAATACTGATAGTTACAACGGATAACTTTATGACTAATTGATTCGGGCATGTGTCGGTTGTCTGGAAATCAAGTTTAAATAATGATTATGGTTGTATGGACGTCAGTGGCGTTTTGGGGAGAACCACGTCGCTAACTAATTTGTCACGCATTTCATTATCAACGCGTGCAGAGATAATGAGATAGCAGTCGCCAATGTCTCCCGAAAACTGTCACTGCTCGACGCAGAAAGATAGAAAAGGTGTCGGGGCACTTATCGGCAGAGAATGTTCTTACTGCACATACAGCTGTGGTTGCCCCCAAAGACAATAATCTCAAAATAGGATATGACTGTACAGATATCTCGACTGTGACGTCATAGGAACCAAATATTAAGATCGTACTGGCACTCCACGATGGGAACTTCGATGACAATTTGCGGTTGACCGGTTTCGATGTGATAGCGGGTTGGCAGCAACCCGTCTGTGCCTGCATGTGACGTTCTGACAATATTAACGTGACGTCGAAAATACCGCGTCCCTACATGTATAGTGCTCCAATCCAGTGCTTTCAGTAACACGTGTGTAACTTGGAACGCGTGAATGTGTGAATAAGCTGTGTGAGGGACGTCGCGGAAGCAACTATACTGCAACATACATTGGTGACTTAAATGTGAGTGTGTGAAGCAGAACCAACATCAACAGCGTTGACCCGATGAATGCTATGAATAAAATGGTACCAGCAGGAACCTATCCGAATGCCATGTGATGCCTTGGAATCGCTTTGGGGACACACACTATTCAGGCAGGCGTAAGTTCTTCAAACGTCAGTTGCTTGCGGCTGGCTATTGAAGTGTATAAACATTACACATCTACTCCTTCGATGCTGCCGCCACGTCGGGTTAACGTGAATTTTATAGTTATAGGCACTGTCCACTGCAAATGATCTATAAAGCAGTGTCCAGGGCTACCATCCTCTTGTGCCAAAATGTCATACCTATTTATTTATTTCTTTGACATAGTTTCCTTGAAGGCCTCCTGGGCAATAATACCAGTCATACCATGCCTGGCATCGTTGCTAATACACGTGTTGCTGTTGACATCGTTGCGCAACTGTAAAGAACTGGTTACATAAAACATATGCGCCCTGCCACTGTGGTCTAGTGGTTAAGGTACTCGGCTGCTGATCCGCAGGTCGCGGGATCGAATCCCGGCTGCGGCGGCTGCATTTCCGATGGAGGCGGAAATGTTGTAGGCCCGTGTGCTCAGAATTGGGTGCACGTTAAAGAACCCCAGGTGGTCGAAATTTCCGGAGCCCTCCAGTATGGCGTCTCCCATAATCATATGGTGGTTTTGGGACATTAACTCCACATATCAATCAATAGTCGCAACTAGTCACTTATTGCAAACAGCATGTGTTACCCTTTGTGCAGCTCGGCATATCAGTTGTACAGGACGGCTCTTGTGAGTCAGCAGAAAAAAAAATTGCAGTGCTGTCCAGCGTTCGGAGTACAAAAGCAGCAGCAATATGAGACAGTTGTCATTTGATTTCAAATGGAAGAATACACTGTTGCGGTGTGCTCCCAGAAGAGAACAACAGAACTTTGATGCAAAGATGATTATGGGTAGATGCTTAAAAAAAAGTACACGTTCTAGACAATACTGGAGGTGCGAGAGGCTAGACATGTGTAATGCTACAATGATTACCGACCTTCATAAATAAGGTACTTGCAAAGTCGGTCAGAAAAAAAAAAGTGGTCCACGCTATCCATGCTCTGGATGTCTCTAGAGCGACAGTTCTTCGCACTCAAGAGCGGATCAAAGCTCCGGCGGTGGCCTCGGGCAAGGCACCCGTGAAGCTTATGCAGCAAGTCACGGAATATGTACCAGCGTCTTCAAGGCAACACCTTCCGAGTGATGAAGCCTTGCGCCAGATTGTGAGAAGGAAAAGGAAAGTGGACTGCCCACATGAGCTATGTAGGGGCTCGGTCTCAAGGACGAATCCTGCACTACCATAGATGGCTGTGAGTTTCGAATGGCTGAACCATATTCGAAGAGAACATGGCTATTGGAAACGAGGCCGAAAGCGCATGCTTGTATCGTACAGAGCCCGTGGAGCCTTTATCTTGTTATTATACATTATCTTCCACTATAGCTGGGTGATGTCGGCATTTTGATGTTTCAGCATTTTGATGCTTCGGTATTTTGATTTTTCGGCATTTTAAATTTACGACTCTTTATATTTTCGGCGTTTCGATTTTCCGCTGTTTCAAACTTCGGCATTCCTATAGCTCGGCCTTTTGATTTTCGGCGTTTTGAATGCCACCCGCGTTTTCAATGGAGGCGAAAATGTTGTAGGCCCATGTTACCCGTGTGCTCAGATTTGGGCGCATGTTAAAGAACCCCAGGTGGTCGAAATTTTCGGGGCCCTTCACTACGGCATCTCTTATACGGTTATTTTGGGACGTTCAACCCCACATATACATTAATCAATCAAATATATATCGAAAAAAATTGCTAATAAGGTTGGCTATATTTGGCTACAAATTTTGTTGCCATTTTTGGTCTTTTTTGGCTACATTCCGGCCACAAACAGGGTCTTCGGCTTTTGGCTGTTCCGTCTTGTCCGACCTGGCAACACTGAGTACTTCCTCGCATTTTCCCGCGTTGCTCGTTCGTGTACGAACGTGCGGATCTTGCGTTCTGTCGAGTCACGTGCTTCCACCGCGTTTTTGCTTTCGTCGAAATGAGCGCCGTATTTTGCCTCGTCATATTACAAAACGGCAGCCGGCGAAAGTTGAAGCTGGCAACGGGAACCTACGCCGAATTCCTGCAAAAAGTGACGGCAATCGTGGACGTCGATCTCGAGAACACGCTGGTAGATTTTCCTTATTTGCATGTTCCAACTGCTGTCACTTGTGGTCAGTCGCGAGCTCAACAAGTTCCTCAGCTTAAAGCAAAACGCATGCTGCATGTCGCAAACAAAACCCGCCCGGAACCTTCACGTTCGGACTGGCATCCCTAACGCCACTTTCTTGTGTTTCTTCTTTAAACCTCTACATCACGTTTAGTTTTCGGCAAAATTCCTTTTGGCGTTGCATAAAGGGTTGCCAGACTGGAGAAGTGGTTGTTGCCAGACTGCCGCTAAATTTGGCAGAAAATTGTTTTTTGTAGTTGTGGCTTTTCTGTAAGAGTTTGGTGCTATCCGCGGTGCATTTTGCGAGTGCATGAGCGACGCTGGTCCTTTTAATTAACGGAATGAACCGAGCCTAGCAGAAGTCGAGCGCGGCGCTGCTGCGCAATTAAGAGGCCGTTTTAATTAACGGAATGAACCGTCCATTACAGAAGTCGAGGCGCGTTCTCTTGCTGTGTGCGCAGCTGTGCGATTAAGATATCGCGTCTCAGTATTTGGGATGACGGGGAAAACTGAATAGAGTCGCAGGAGGTGATGCGCTACCCCCCTCCCCCTTACTTTTCTTTTTTTTTCCTCTTAGCTGATCGTGTCGCGTCGACCGCGCGCCACGACGGGGGACGCTACGCTTCCCCTAGCTGTGTCAGCACAAGACATATCGTTCGGACTCGTATATACATGTGATGAATAAGCGTTCCAAGGCTGGTCAATTGGGGTATGTCGGATGGCGTTTTCTATAGAAGGCTATAGTCTGATCATGACCTCCTCCGTGACTAAAGAAGTAGTGCCACTCATGCACTGGGCAATGTTTTCCGAAGGCCGGGTGCTATTCATGAGGTCAAGTCTGAAATGCACGGGCGTTGGTGCCAGCTCGTGTGCATTCGCTGCTGAGGAGAAAGTGTTGCATACTTCCCAAGTTGTGTGCATCAATAGTAGACCAGCCTCGTTGGTAACCTAGCAAAAATTTTAAGGTCTGACGAAAATGTTTGTCTGGCGATATTTCTACCTTTGTGTCTGGTAATACCAAAATTAAATTGTGAGCACTCTAAAGTACCGTACAATTTGCTCCTAGCATCGTTAATCTTAGGGTCATTTCGAAAAAAGTGCCTAAATTGGTAAGAAAAAAGTGGCAGAATGCCTAGGCAACATGTACTCAAGCTTTGTTGATGGTAACAGCACAGTTTCCAAATAAAGGCCTTGCACGGGGCAAAGAACAAAACGATGTTGGTGTTTCAGTAAGAGTTAAGCCTGATTATTTATTTATTTATTCATACTGCAATCCCTATTACAGAGATTTTAGCAGGGTGGTTACAGATATATTTTCACAATGTTGGCACTCAAGAATGCATAAACCAAACAAACAAACAAAAAATAGAACGGCATGATGTGAACAATCAGGTCAAATTTGCTGCAAACAACTTTAAGGACGGCTCCATCACATGGTTATTAGTTAGTCCATTCCATTGAGTTACTGTCAAGGGAAAAAGAAATATTTGAAGCAGTTATTTAGGGACCGGAAAGGGGTTATTGTAAGTATCATGATGCCTTTGGCGGGTGGCGTACCCAGAAGAAAAAGAAATGATATTGGAAACATCAAGCTTATAATGCCCTTTAATTATTTGGTAAAGAAATTGTAGTCGTATTAAACGATTTCTTTCGGTAACTGAAGGCTCATTGGCACGATGTAGGAGTTCAAAGCTATTAAAGATAAAGCGGACTGCCTTCTTCTGCACGTTTTCTAATTTAGTTATGTTAGCTTTAGTGAAGGGGTCCCAAACAATCACTCCATATTCTAACACTGGGCGAATGATAGTCCTGTACGCTAGAGTACGCACCGTGGAATTGGAATGTTTTAGAGCTCTTCGAAGGAAGAATAGTTTTCGGTTAGCATTTGTAATTACGGAGTCAATATGTCCCAATTAGAGCGTGTCCCCTCAGGAAATGAGGGCATTTCTGGCCTAATTAGCCAAAACCACCTTGAGAGCCGCCCGCCAACAGACCCACAGGGGCAAGGAACAAGCGCCTTCGTCAGGCGCCCATTGTGCTTTTGTGTGCGCCCTTCATATGCAATTCAACGTCTGTAATACTCGCTTTTCTTCTAAAACATCACACAGGGCCTTCATCTACATTATACTAATGGTCATGTCGCAAGAGGCTGTTAAGTCGGATGAGCACGCACGCTTAATTTAGAAAACAAATTAGGATGCCTTTGATGTAACGTTTGCCAGTAATATTCAACCAGAATTGACCATGTATACATAAGAACTAAACAATACAAACATTTCAAAGGTTTTATTTTAGTGTCAGTGGTCCATTATCGGTCAGAGATGAACAACTTGGAACACAAGCGCAACATGGCTGTTCGTGTAGTAACATTTTTTTTTTCATTATTTTGGACGTGTGTCACCTTTTCTTGGTTTGTTTTATACAGCAATTGGCTTTTTTATAATATTTTAATGTCGTATGTGCATGATAGGAAAAGGTGAAATCATGGATTCTCCCATTGTAGTGTTAGAGTAGTGAATGAGCCGATACATGTAAGAACTCCCTAGAAGAACATCCATATCTGACTGCGAGTTGGCCCTTTTTTTTTGTTCTTTTACTGTGCCCTTTGCTTAACCGCTGGTTTCATAAGAGTATTTTTGTTGGGGGGTGCGACAGTGAAAAGCAAAGCAAATTGAGAAACAGCAGTGAAAGTTGGCAGATAGTTCACATTTTAGACCATTCTGCAATTAGACCATTTAGTCTTGCATGGCTACATTATTTGAGTAAGTTTATCTTGGCCATTATTGTATGCACACATTTTTCTCCTCGGGAATTAGACAAGTGAAAGCGCCAAGACCGATAGCCTTGCTAGCGTCACGGGTAGATGCAAACGAAAATGTGTGGCTGCAGAACAAACCAAGAAGAAAGAAAATAACTGTTTTGGTAGTGTAATCATAATAATAAACTTGAGAAATAAACTGTAGAGACAATGGTCAAAGGTAAAAACAAACCTGTCTTGCTACAATTGCTCTGATTCAGTCATGATATTGATACAAAGTAATAAAAGTTAGCGATTACCTGAACATACACGTGTCAATGAAAGAAATACGTTATTTTTTTTACTTGCATGTCGATAGCGTCACAACAATTTCTAAATGTAGATGTTTACCCCTTAAATTTTGCCGGAAACCTTCAATTTTTCCCAAAACGGTGTGACGCTGATAAATCTGCAGGTGTTCCATATTCTTGTAAACCACGGAAAGTTTGGTGCAAAATATTTTCTTTCAAAAGAAAGCTGGCATTGTTCATAGCTTGTCATGATAAACCTCACTGGCGTATTGTCAAGCTGTGAGGCTTCATCCCTGAGTTGCCGTGCAATATGCTCGTTATTGTAGCACGAGTGCTCATACTAGTGACTCAGCAAGCATCAGGACGTTGGCTAGTTTGTACATGTTTAAAAGAAGTGATTAACTGCACAAACATAGGACGAAAAAAAAAAAAAAACAGCACCCATCCTCTTTCTTTTCGTCTTATGTGCAGGATTTTAATCCCTTCTTCAAGACTTATGGCATCCAACAACACAAGGGCTGTTATTTAAAGGGAAAACCGTTCAGACAGACTAAATAAAGCTTTCCCTCTTTTTGGACAATAGTTCAAGGCATTTCCACCAGCGCTTAGCTGCTGTATTTACCAAGGCCGAGAAGAATGCGCCTGCTACCACCAAAGGCATGTGTGGTGGCACAGAGTTCAATGTTCAATGTGCTTATACCGGCACTGTTTGTGAACTATCGCTATCATGAGGACCGAAATATTGTTTTCTAGTATCGGTGCGGTTTCCAAAAGTAACCTGTTGCAGTTCAAGTTACTGTGAAAAAGTAATGTGGTTACTCTTATATTACTGTAAAAAATATTTAATTGATGATGAGTCAAATGATTGAAAACAACTAAAAATTAATGAAAATGAAAGGCATGCCGATTCTTAAAATTCCATGTGGTAAAACCCTATATGGAGGAACCTTGAAAGGTGGCCCAACACCAGCATTCTAAATGGACATCTCGTTTTGTTTCATCAGTTTTTATGTTCACGCACCATTGCTGATAAAGGACTTAATTTGCAGATAATAACAATCATAATCCTACCAGGATAATAAAAGCGGAAAATGTGGTTGATGCAGTGGAACACCTGCATTATCTCGGCGAACTCAGAAGAAAATAATGCTATAAAAAGGATAAGAGATTGGCTTCTTTGAGAAACACTATGGTCAGGCATTATACATCAAACAAGCCTGTACACTCTCAAGGGCTGCAAAGCCAACCAGATTAATAAAATAAAATAGCACTGCTACAACAACACGTGCATACAAAGAATTTGAATGCTTTAGAATGTGGCTAAAATAAAAATAATATTTGATAGGAAATAGAAAATTTCCTTCTCTCGGCTTCAGCACGGCGCAGCGCTCGATATATAGGATGTTTTGCTCAACGGCAGTTCAATATATGTGTACACCAGCTTCGTGCTTTTGCATGGGAAATTTTAAGGGGATTTCTCAGCTGTTCGATATAGCCAATAATTTCATAAATCTGAGTCTGATATACCTGGGATCTACTGTAATAAACAAGCTCCCAAGTGAAATATTGCCCCAGCCCGTGAAACAACAGTTTGCTGTTCTCACTTATCAATGGGTTGCCATTATTAATGCAGTTGCATTCAAGACATTGGACCAGGAACAGTGTGAAAGCCAAGAGGGTGCAGGGAAAGGCTGAAGAAAGGAGCAGTACTTAATGGCTTCATAAATTTGTTGCGGCAAAGTGAAACACTTCTGATAGTAGTGAATGTTTGAATGATACTTGTGAAGTGTTTTTTGAGTCTGAAAACAGATGAATGGGTTCTTGCTGGCCTAGATTATTCATGTGTAGACGTATAGGGTTGTTACGTCAACGTTTGCTTCTTTCGGTGTTTACCGAATGGGATTTTTTTTTTTGGTAGATCACGTTCACTGACATAAGAGAGTCTATATCTGATTTACTTCGATGAAAATTAGTATAAACTAAAATTTGGAGTGTTATAACAATGTACATATTTAATTAATTCTGTGCAGCAAATGGAAAACGTGACTTAAGCTTTCAGCAGAATCAATTAGCACCTGAAGGAGTTCAATGCACGCCTTTCTTTTACCGATTGATAGTATGGATCCAGCAACAGTGGTGCATCGAAAGTGTGAAGGCTGTTTTCGGTCCGTGGCAGGCGGTGCTGTCAAAACAGCTTAACCTGCTGGGCTGGCCTGCTGCAGAGCAGCAATCGTGTGGCGTGTTTGTGCAAACTATATCCTGATGCCTTTCCTGTCACGAATGCGGTGTAATGCTGATGGTGTTCGCTCTATTCATAGACTGGACGTCTTAGTCGCAGATTGTTAAAACAAGAGGCACAACAGAATGACAAAAAACACATCCCTGATGGTGCCACTGTTTTTGCAGTGTAAGGATGAAAAAATCCTGCAAATTATTATAGACAATGCACTGATTAATATGCTTAACTATGCCTTTCTTTGGGGATTGCTACATACTCGAATGCATAAAAGTTCTTTTTAAAAAATGCGATTCCCTGTCCCAAACAGATCCAGGTGTATGACACCGACCTGGACGACTTTGTCGATCTTGCACCCGAAGATGAAATTCTAAACAAAGCGAAGCTGCGCGTCATCTCAAGGAGTGCTTCAGTTCTGTGCCATGCAGCAGTGGATACTGGTGATCAAGACGTTGCACCCCCTTATCCACAAAGTCCGTGAGTGTTGTTCAATATTGCCGATTTAATCCAACATCTATTTCAGGCACGATGTCATCATCATCAATCTGAGCCTGTTATGCACATTCATTCTGAGACAAAAGCCTTTCCAAATAATCTATAATTATCTTGCATGAGCCGAGTCTAGTTTATAGACGCAACTCACTTTTGTATATTCGGGATCAGTCTTGATACAATCAAGTGCTCAACACAGTTATTGGTACAAGCATCACATCTTATTTTCAACCAAAGTCTTTGCAATACACTTCAGTGCAGAGAAAAGATTTCAACATAGCTTTATGTTAGCTGAGTGTGCTACCACCTTTGAAAAGAGGTTGAACGTGTTTCTCTGTATCACTGCTTTTGGTAGATGTACCGTATGTCATCACAATGATCTCAGCTCGGTTATAGCCTTGACACCGTTTTGTGCACATATGTTTTTATTAATCTTGTGTTGCAACAGATTATCGTAAGAGTATCATAAGTCTGCGGAATTTGTTTGTAATTGTAACAGATGCTTTTCATAACTGTAAAACAAGCTTTTCTACAGTATGGTTAGCCGAACTGGTCGCAACTAGTTTCTAGTGGCTAAGGTACTCGGCTGCTGACCCGCAGGTCGCGGGATCAAATCCGGGCTGCGGCGGCTGCATTTCCGATGGAGGCGGAAATGTAATGGGCCTGTGTGCTCAGATTTGGGTGCGCGTTAAACAACCCCAGGTGGTCAAAATTTCCGGAGCTCTCCACTATGGCGTCTCTCATAAGCATGTGGTTTTGGGACGTTCAACCCCACATATCAATCAGTAGTCGCAACTAGTCATTTATTGCAAACAGCATGTGTTCAAGCACAGTTTGCTTCTACCATGACATGGAAAACGAAGACTAAGCTGACTCGATATAAGCACGCATAATAAACAAGCCCCAGCACCTGAAGCTATAACCTCTTGTTGCTCTGAAGCACAACAGTTGATGCCTCGAGTTTCGCGCTAATGTGCAACAAGGAAAAGCACTCTTGTGGATTTTGGAGAGGGTCTATTATGAAGACCGGCCTGATTTGGCTTAAACGTTGAAGCAACAGTATTGAGGTCTTTCTTGACGGGGCTAAGAATGTGTTTCGTGGTGTGTGGAAAAGTGAAAGCTGTCATCCATAGCTGCAGTGAACGTGGATGCTCGAACTGTCTGCATTGTCGTACTGTGTGAGCACGCACGCGCAACCGATGTGAGTGGAAGTCTCCGGATACCTTCTCGCCATTCACAGTGAGTGAAGGCAAGTAAAATTGTTGGCGAAATCGATGGAGCAAAGAGGCAGATTGCTCACTTGGCTATGTCAAAGCTGGGGCACTATTAAGGTTTCTGCTGTCAAGATAAGTGTTGCACGTGACACACGCACAGTACTCTTTATCGCATAAGCTGGTTGGAATGAGGTAAATGCTGTGCGGTGTAGGCCAGCCACATGCTCATGCAACAAAACGTATGTCCATATAAGTACAAAAATATTAGTCAAAATCAAGAAATACAGTCAGGCCTGCTGGTAACGCATTTGTAGCCTTTTTTAAACTTTCTGAGGGCAGCTACTGCATGTACACCTGCACTGCACCCAGTATGCCATAAATGATCACAATTTTTGTGAGTAGCAAACTGGATTCCAAAGGAAGGCAAGCGCTGAGGGGTAAACAGGAAGTTAAATAAGCAGAAGAGATTAGGAAGCTTGGCGGTACAAGATAATTAGGCATAGTACTAATTGGAGCATGGTCTTCACTGCTTTCCATGTTGCACCTGGGAATTCAAAAGCAGGTGGAATGCAGGAAAGTCCAACACATAAGAGAGCAACTATGGAAGGTTAGTCACCAATTTTCTAGTGCAGAGCCTTTTTTTTATTTAGGAGTGCCACAGATGCTTTCTGTGCGTGTGGCATAAAAAACAAACAAAAAGACATATAGTCGTTTGCGTCCCGTTTTCGAAAAGCTTCACCCGTCTGTTGTGTTCACACACGAAGCACCGACTGATATTGCTTTTGCTTTGTTGGCACTGCAGGTCTGCGCATATTAATTTTCCAACATTAGTAAGTTTAGGTGAATGAAAATTTACATCTCTGTCGCACGACTTGATTCTCTGAATTGCACAACTGCATTGTTCATCATGCCTTGCTTGTGAGCAGTTTTTCAAAAACGGCGTTTCAATTACGGTGAGGAGATTCACTCCTCTGTTGACTTTTGTTATACCGTATTTACTCGATTCTACAGCGCCCTCAATTGTAACGCGCACCCGGTTTCTATGACAGAAAAGAAAAGAAAAACAAGACATTGATTGCAACGCGCACAGATTTTTCTAGTTGGCCCGCACGATCACAAGACTTGAAAAAACAACTCCGTTCGGGAGTGTCTTCCATTCGAATATGAGGTACGGCGGAAGCTTGTGCCCATCTGACATGTAACAGAGCATTGCCGTCACTGTAGTTTTACTGTGGATCGATGTCAGCACGCGAACTTGCTTCGCCCCCTTCTTGACGGTTGTGGTGCCAGGCATGTCGAAGTAAAAAGGCATCTGATCGGCATTCCCGATTTGCCCAAGCAGGTAGCCGTTGTTGTGCTGCAAGTTTAGGACGAACCTCTGAAAACTGTGAAGCTTTTCATCGTACTCCTCCAGAAACTTTTTGCATATGCCCGTTCGCTTTCGGAGGGAAAAGCCTTTCCTCTTCATAAAGTTAGTTAGTCCAGCACCTGCTCGCTTTTAACTGGCTCCGCATTAGCCCTTTTTCTAAGGCTAACTGCATAGCCCGCACTTGGAGCAGTTCTGTCGTCACGGGCCGCTCGCTGCTCAAGCACATACTCGCCGAGCAGCTCTTCAATTTGCGGAAACCGACCCTGCTGTGGTCTACTAAAGCCTTTGCGTGAATGCTTTTCTGTCGACAATCTCACAGAACACCTACAAAATATTCTGCTTTTGTTTCCGCCAGTCCCGCACGCACGTTTCCGGAACTCCGAACGACCGCGATGCAGCCCGATTTCCGTCCGTTTCTGCACACGCGATGACTTTTCTTTTAAAAGCGGCATCGTGGTGCACTCGAGTTTTTGGAGTCGGCCCTTCCATGCCGTCGATGCTAATGCACTACAAGATGACGAACTCCACAGTACACGTACAAAGTGCTGCACATGGGAAACACATAGGCAGAAACGGCCACCGCGCCATGCCGAAGCACGTAGGGGACGGCCATTTTGAAAATGCCGATGGCAAGGGAATGATCGTATTCATCTTTTTTTTCATACTCGATTTTAACGTGCATGCAATTTATGAACTCGCTTAATCGGAAAAAAAGGTGCGCGTTAAATTCGAGTAATTACGGTAAGTGGTCTATGTTGTAATAGATATGTAGTCTGACCAGCTCTGCACAAGTGTGCGCATTTTTTCTTGATCTACGCATAGTTACAACCACTGTAGCTTAATGTGTGTCCATGAGGATAAAATAGATCTCCTGTTTCAACTTTGTTTCGTTTTTAAAATACGAAAACACCATGTTTGGTCTGGAATGGCAAAAATGTAGCAGGGTATCGCAGGATTCTTCTTTCGGAGCAGTGTGGCACAGTCAGTGCAGCTATCACATCCCTGCTCAAGCTTCGTATCGTTCACAGAAAATTTTTATTCTGATTGCTGAAAACATATTGATAGGCCAAGTTAAAAGGAACTTGTGTCATTGAATGCCACTCATGTAGAACATCTATGGAAAGAGTTGTGAGAGAACGAAGCTCTCTCACTTATTTGGTTCTCCTTGCGTCTGTGCATTGTATGCTTGCCTGTCCAAGCAACCATGTGCTGCTTGAGCTGTGATTAGTAGGTGCATGGTGACAAGGAATAAAAGCCGTTCCAAAATTGAGATTACACAAGCTATCTGTGGGACTGAAAACCTAGGGAACAAAAGTTTCTGTTAGTATTAATTCTAAAAACAGTTCAAAAGCTTTGTCGTCTGAAATGCACAGACAGTGTTTGTCTGTAGGTCCGAAAGCTTCTTTCCACTCAAGAACTTACTGCCTTTGATGGTCGTCGAGTTCTGAGTGTGCACTCTTTTTGTGCGTTGTTGACTCGCTCGCCTGTCATTTAATGCAGGATCCTCGCACGAATCGAAGATGCACCGTGTTCATTTCTGTCCTGCGGGCAGGCGAGCGACAGTGACGAAATGCAAGTCGACGACGCTCCTACCAAACACACGTCAGTGCACGAGAGCAACGACTGTCTCAAGTTCGCTCTGCCTCAATCCTTCGGCATATATTGCGACGCTTTTTTGAAGAGCAAGCGCCCAGTCACTGCACAAGTCAAGGACGCACATGATCTCAGTTCTGTTCAAGGCGCTCCACAGTGTGAAATCCGTGAGTGTTGCGCTGTTTTTCTGCGTTTGACTTCGGTATAGGTATCTTAGCGTGGCATGTAATATTCTTTGTCTAGGTTCAACTTGAGGGACTTATGTGGTTTAAGGATCAAGTAGTGCTTGCTCAAAGGATTATTGCTGCCATGCATTGCACATAGTTTATAATTTCATTTTGCAGACACCCTACACAGAGGCAGTACAACAAAGTACTTGACCTGCTAGTGGCAAAGTATCCGCGCGTGATGGAAGGAAAGTACAGCAGGGTAAGTTGATGCTTTCACGCAGTTATATCAGGCAGCATGACTTTACGAAAACCCTGCACATTTCAAAACTGCTAGTTCCTACTCGTGCTACCAAGTTTTGTCAAGTTCTGAGGACGACACAGAATAAGCAGCTACGTGAAGGTTGTTTCTATATGAAACACCATCGTCTGTCTGTTCTGTCTCGCTTCACAGCGCCGCTGGTTGATCGCCTTGAGGAGCCGGTTCAGAAGTGAACGCGAGAACCTCACAGGGGCTTCAGCTGCTGCAGTAAAAGCGCTGGAAACGTCCGGAACTAACCTGTTGCTGCCCGAAGCTAATGACAAGTGCACCTACGCTCGCGTACCGCATGTGGTGAGTACTCAAAGTGGTGAAGTCATGAGTGAAAACGTAACAGTGTTGGAGCTCGAGTTACGGAGGATCAGAAAAGTAACCGCTGTTACAGTTACGTAAGATTTAGACGAACTGATTTTCCGTAACGAAGCAGCTTGTTACAGTTTCTGCTGACTATGTAAATCGATTTTTTTTCTTTTGTCATTGGAAAAACAGTGACTGAATTGTTGCGAATGTACACCATGTATATTATCCTGATTTAGATTCAGGCCATAATATTCTATTTATGGAATCAGTCTACTTATCTGTGTTATTGTTATTTTTAATAAGGAGTCATTATTTTCTAGGTCTCCTTTGATCACCGTAATGTTTACATCACTGTGTATCATTGTTATCAGCAGTATCATTATTACAAGTCTCTTAACCCTTTGTGCTACAGTCGGACACATACATCTCACTTCTCCTACATCTCCCGTTGCAATTAGTGCAAAAGTAAGTCCCTAAGTCTTCGTAACCTCGAGGAAAATTTTTTTAGTACACTCACAACGAGTGGAAGTAGTTTAACAAAGGTGTCGAATTGCAATCACTTCTTTATGATAGATTGCGAATCTTTCTTTTTTTCAGGATGGAAAGAAATGACCAATCAAAATTCTGGATGATTTCCTCGTTATCTAGTTTTTCAGAGTTGATTACAGCTTTCAGTCATCCCATGGTTTCGTAAATTTGTGCAATAACCTCACCGATGAATGCATCGCAATGAAATCCCTTGCGAAATCGCCATGCATATCTTTTAGCGCTGGTGGGGATAGTGACGTATGGAAATATTTTTTTTTTCTAATTAATAAACGTGTATAATTTGAAAAAGAAGGCACTTGTTCAAACACAAGAGTTGGATGAGGCAGTTTCAACAGCCAAAGCAAGGACAGTCAAATGGACAAAAAGGGGGCGTGGTTTGGTGTATGCAGTGATGTAAGCTTTACAGGAACCGAACAGAGCGCTATGAAGGCTCATAAGAGGTGCAGGTGCAGCTGGTGGTCTACTACTGGAATGAGGTCCACACAACTTTCCCCAGAACAACTTGAGAAGCGATATTCCTCAGAACAACTTGAGAAGTGATGCTTTGGGCCACTTTCTTTGGCCGTATCATCCCAAGTAATCATTAAGGTGGCGGTCCTACTGTCGCCATATTGCGAGTAGTTCTGGAAAAAACACCAGACGGCGCCACCAAGTCAGGACTGGAAGGCCAACATTTCGGAGGTGAACTGCCACACGTGTGCCGGCGTGCCACACTGCATGACGAGGGGGTGCAAATCACGCTGACACGGTTCGAAGAAAGGAGGCACTGAGCAGGGGCTTTTTTTTTCTCCCCCTTCAGCTACTACAGCACTGTCGCCTTCCGTGCTGAGCACGCATTTTTGTGTCCGTCCTCATCCTCACTCAGTCCGCCTCCCCCCTCGTCATGCTGCCTCGCACCTTCAGGCTAGCATAGTGGCTGTCATTCCACATCTCCTGCCCTCATGCGAGGCCATCTAGACTATTCAGGTGTTAGTGGTGTCGCCTTGGGCACCCCTTCTTGGTACCTGGTAAAACGCGTTCCTCGCTCACTATTGACGGGGGACTAGCTGAAGGAGAAAAGCGCGTCGCGTTCGCACATTGTTCACTGATAGGCGCGAGGCTAATTTACTTATACGTACGTGGCTTTGGAAGTCTTCCTAGTTAGGAAGCACATGGCGGCAGACACCGGCTGTGTGTGAGAGAGGGTCGGGAGAGGGGGCAGTTGTCGTTACTTAGGTAAAAGAGAAAAATTTAGCGGACTTTAGTCTCGAGAAGCTCTTGCTTTCTGTCCTCGTAGCTGTCTTATAGTGTGCGAGAAGTGCACACAAGGCCAACACGACGAGTGGTCGGCGTTCCTTTGTCGTGAAAAGTACTCTGGGTCGACTTACCCCTCGAAATCCAGACCTGCCTGGCGCATTTGTGCGATACGTCTTTCTAGCGCATTACCCCCGTTTACATGGTCGTGATGCGCCAGTTGTCGCATTCGTATAAACGCTGTGCGTGCCGTGCCGGCTTACGGCAAACTGTCGACGCCCGGCTATACGCAAACGTGCTTTCTTATCGAGGAAAGACGAACTGGACCCCACTCCCAACAACCGTGGAGACGGCGTGCCGGCCTCTTGTTGAATGAAGTTAGTTAGTCGCCCCAGCTGGCAGCCGACTGACTGGCAGTTGCCTCGAGCTGTCAGGCTGTAATCAATTTTACACGAATGCCAGAGTAGCCCATCGACTTTGCAAGCGCGTTTCGGAAAGGTGATGCGACGCCGTTTGCAGGACCTCTCGTCTTCTGTACGCCGCAGCTACCATGTGGTGTCGGATTACAGCGAGCGAGTATCGGATTACAGCGACTTGTAGCTGGGCCAGTTGGTTTATGTAAAAGGATTAAAAAAAAAATAACTCATTAGCTTAGTCGTGCCTCGAGCATGGGAAACAGAAATTCGCACAATTTTCTGCGTCATCAATTACTATATAAATAGGTACATATTAGCGCGAGCAAAATAACAATGAATTGAGAAAGGAGTGGCAGGAGGCAGGAATATCTCAGCTCCCGACATTTCTGCTTCGTCCCACTTCTTTCTCGAGTGTTTTTGTTTTCTTGAGCTAATATTAATTAATTCCTTATAGCGAAAGAGGGACGCACGAAGTTCGCACAACGGGGGGTCACCATTCCCCTCATCGTGATTTACGGCCCGTGAATCGACCGGCACTCGCAAAACTGCCCATTTCCTACGCATTAGTGCAATGCGCCTTCCATTGCTTACATGAATGCGAAGCGCATGTTTCGCACTCATGTAAACGTGTTTTATGCACACCGACGTCACCACACTTTCTTATAAACTTATCCGTTTCAGAAACGTTTCTGTTCTTTTCGAGCTACTAGGCGTAAGTCCAAGATCGGCTATTTCTACTCGTCAGGTGTATGACTCGCGCTAACGAGTCAAGGAGTTGCTATCTTGAAGCATTGACAGTTCTCCGCACGGCAGACTTCCCAATGACGAATTGTCAGCAGGTGCCGCATGCCCTTGACATTTTTCTCTATTCTTTTTCTCCCCTTCCCCCTCCCCCGTGTAGGGTAGCATATAAGCCTTTCCTTTGCCTTTCTCTCTCTCTCTCCTTCAGGCGAAAGCGTCGGCAGGGTGCCTTGTCGCATGGTGTTGTACACTGGCACTGAAGAAAACCAACAAGTTCCCTACTCGACGTTGCAATCCTTAGATTGAGTGACATAAACCCTCAGTGCATAGGAAATATAGATGGGCTTCACCACTGCCGCTCCCCCACCAGACCTGCTCAGTGGGAGCATAGTCAAAAGTTATCCGCCTTTCTGCATCCCTGAATCTTGATACGCACAATCTATTATCTTCGAAGCAGCATGGCTTCCGCCGAGGCTTATCTACAACAACTCAGTTAATCGAATTTGTTCATGATCTTTCAAAAACAATCAATTTGCGTGGTCAAACTGATGTGGTATATTTGGATTTCGCAAAGGCATTTGATAAAGTATCGCACTCAAAGCTACTGTTTAAAATTGACAAAACGTTTCAAAATAACCACTTGACAAAATGGTTTTCATCCTATCTCAGCTGCCGTCTGCAGTTTGTTCAAATAAAAAATAAACAGTCTAGAGCAGTTGCAGTGAATTCTGGAGTTCCCCAGGGGAGCGTGCTGGGTCCCCTTTTATTTTTGTTATATATAAATGACCTACCAAACCGCGTTACGGTCCCGATAAGGTTGTTTGCCGATGACTGTGTTGTTTATAGCAGAATCGAGACTGAACATGACCAAGTTAATCTAAACAACAATCTTCAAAGAATAAAGGATTGGTGCGAAGAATGGCAAATGAGTTTGAACACAGAAAAAACAGTCTTTATGACTATAACTAGAAAGAAAGCACCTCTGGATTACAACTACCAGATTGGCAATGCTTTCCTCAAGCGTGTACAAAACTATAAATATCTTGGGTTATGGTTCACGCCCGACCTCCGGTGGAACACTCATATTGATAATGTATGCTCCAGGGCTACCAAGGCATTGTATAGCCTTAGACGTAACCTTTATACCGCCCCATCTGATATAAAGTGTCTTGCTTACAAAACTCTTGTCAGACCTATTATCGAATATTCTAAAATTGTCTGGGACCCTTACACAAAGACAAACTGCAATAAAATAACAAAAATACAGCGACTTGGTGCGAGATTTATTTTTAATAAATATCGCCGACATCATTCTCCTACTGAACTCTGTAAAAAAGCTGGACTGGATAGTCCTGAACTTAGGACGAGGATTGAGCGTCTGAAATTCCTCTTCCAGTTAATTCATAGTCATTTTAAACTAAACTATTCAGATTACTTCCAGGTCATCACACAAGAACACTCCAGACATCGCCATAATATGTATATACCACCCCTAGTCCCACGTAACGATTGCTTTAAGTTCAGTTACTTTCCACGTGCTATTGAAGATTGGAATATGCTGCCAGAGTCTATAATTGGTTGTTCCTCGCTTACATCATTTGAACAGAATCTAAAACGTTTATTTTCCGAATAACAGTGACATATGTTTTTTTTTTTTTTTGGCGTGTGTGTGTACTTTTTGTTGGTTGCATGATTCTGCAGTAGTTGTCTTTCAAATCTTCAGCGCGGTGCAAAAGTGCCGCCTCAAATGCGTCATGTGCTGTTCTGCGCGTATGTATTGCATCGCATGTGTGTTCCATTTATGTATGTTATGTATAACTTCGAGTTGCTGGTCACAATAATACCGAGAAATTATCTCGAGACCTGTACGGTACTTCTTTTTTGCAAATAATTGTTTGTACTTCCACCCTGTAACGGCCCACTTCTGGGCTAACAGTATAAATAAATGAAATGAAATGAAGGACCTCACTTGTGGCGGGTGCTTCAAAGCAGAAAAAAAAAGAGCCCTGGTGCCTCATTGCTGTCCCCGCGCCGAAGTACTTTCTTACACCACGCCGTGCATTCAGCAAATTTCATGCCACTTCGCTTCGTTGTTACTGGCTGAAAAATCTGCAAGATTTTCAGGCAGTAGCATGATTTTAGCCAGTTCATGCAGTGAGCAACGGAATAAATATTGCTCGATTTTGTGGTTTACTGAAACCGATGACGGATATTCACAGGTGACTCCGAGAGAAGAGTTTGCAAGCGCCCGCGTCCCCTTAGAGCAAGTTTGCAGTGATTATGAGGAACGCCGTCATGGGGTACTCCAGAACATTGGTGTTCGCGCATTTCGGCGCTATGGAAATGTGCGCTTGTCGTATATAAAGGCGGAAAGCGAACACGCGTCCTTACCTCCTGCCGCACCATAGTTTTCCCCAGAGTAAATAAATGAAATAAACACGCAGAAAGTACAAAAACAGACTTCATCTCATTCCTGTAGGTGTGCCTCGTTTCGTGTTTGTGCTGTTTGTTGTGATGGGTTCATACCAACAAGCGCAGCACGTCTGAAGCTCCGTATATTTCACGGTAAAAAAAAAAAGATATTCACAAATACCTTACCCACGCACGTCTGCTCAGTTCGCTCGTATCGCTCGTTTGTCGTTCGTTTTTCTGCTGTCTTCTGACTGTCGTCGCACAACCCTCGCTTTTCGCTATAGTCCGTGGGGGGTGAGGAGGGCGACAAAGACGTGCACACATAAAAGAGGGACTTTCCAAGAATTCAGCCTTTCTTTTCCCGTGAAGACGCTCACCCCATCCTCTCGGAGGATACTGCCCACCTGTTTTCACGCTCTCCCGCGGTACCGCGCAGCCTTATGAGACTCTGAGGGGAGGAAGGCTTACAGATGACGGTGCATGGTTTGAAGTTAGAAAAGACGTTTCCTCCTAAGGCAAAATGTTTTCGCACGCCGCATTCGGGGAGACAGGGAACCTTCAAATTCAGCGCTTTCCTTATTTCTGTTTAGGTGGCGCTAGGGAAAGATTTTCGTTGTAGAGATAGGAATAATGTAGATTTCTCAATATTCCTGCAGTTCTTGTGTGCGATTCGTGTGCATAAGTATACCAGGAGACCGTAACTGTTATATTTTAGGCTATGCATGCTTAGATTTCAGCGCTATTTCAAGAAAACAACGATTTTGTTGATGTTTACGGCACGATAAATTAAGACAATTTGCGAGCTTTGTTTCGCATTTCTGCTTGCTTTATTGAAAAACGCTACGTTGAGGAAATAGATCAGGGGTTCTAGTTTATCCACGTGCAAATTCAGCTAACGAACTTCAGTAGTTCGCCGCAAAAATGGGCCACGGTAGGTCTATCTAATGAGAATATTGCCCAATTTAGATCAATATAATTAAAAAGCGAGCGGGCTTACATAAATAAAATTGAGCACTCAAACGGAAAATGCCATTCTCTATATACACCCGGAAAATTAATTTTTTCTAGCGAATAGGTGCCGGATAGTCCGCATCGACATTTACTAAATTTGGCTCTTTTCAAAAGCTAATCAGCAATACAGTAATAGCGCTAGAATAATTTGCTACGTTGAGGAAATAGATAAATATGTCTTAAATGTTCTGCGCAAAGAACAGTGCCGTAACTGCCGCAGATTTTTCAGAAAATGGTCACTGCTGACACATAGTCAGACCAAACCATGTAACTAGCGCTTATTCTTGGCTCTCCCTACCCAAATGCTACAAGCTTACTTATTTTTAATAGATATGTTTAAAGTGTACAAAAACTAAGCTTTTTAATGACACATAAACCAACTATATAAGACAAGAAGAACAGCCGCCACGTCAGTTGGAAAAGTGACAAAAACGATGTGTTCGTGCCGCCGGAGTGAGACCGCCGCCTTAATGCAATAGTGAGAATGTGCCTTCATGAGCAAATGGGACAGTATTTTCCCATTTGTGAACACTCTTACGAATCAGTGGGGCTTATATGTCCCACTCTTTTTCAGTGAGTAACTGGCTTCAATTCGTAAAAATTTGTTTTATACTATTGCTTTGTCGGCTGTATCAGTATACCACAACCAGCTCTTACATCATTTTGTCGAAATATTGCCGAACCTACAAAGGTAGACCTACCTATAGAAGTATTGGGTGGCAGTTAAAAACTACTTTATTGAAGAAGGAACTGGATACTTCTAGCTATGCATTATTGCTGCTATTTTCTGATATAACTTTAGATTTTCTCCCCAAAGTGGATGCATTGCGTGCCTGCACCATTGGGTGTCCACAGCAGACTGACATCATCAGCTGGATGAAGGACTGGTAACTATGTCCTTCTTGAGTGCATGAGTGGCACTATTTGTTTAGCCGTGGACGCGATCAGTTGCCATGATTCGGTCATTTGAGCAAGGCCTCTTTGGACTTGTTAAGTTATATCGGATGGTAGTTACTCGCTAGGACTGGTACAAAACTAGAGCTTTGAAGTAGTAGCATCCGCTCTATACTTCCACGCAAGCTGCAGCATGCATATTAAACTTATGCCATTTCTGTGCTTTTCACGCTCGCCAACCACAAGACAACGCCGAGTTCATCAACCAATGCATCCAGCTGCAAGGGCAAGTCAGCGCAGGAGGAACACCTCAGCGAGTTGATGAACACGTCTGCTGATGCCGTTACAGCCGGTGACGCAGCAGTAGCGTCTGTGTCCGACCTGACCGGATGTGTGGAGATGAGTGAACCATTCGAGGATGATGAAGAATTGATAGATTGTCCGGACGACTCCGATGCCTCTCCGGAGAACGTCACTTTGTCCAGCCTGCTCGAAATGTGCACCAATGAAAGGGCTTCGGAGGCACTGATGACACAGCTAGAAGATCGAGCTACTTTGGACGAAAATGAAAGCGCTGATGAATCGGCAGAGGAAGCAAGGTACCGTTCAAAATAAGTCATTTCCACTTCTTAGATTAATCATTGTCTTCATATTACAATCTTGTTTTCTTTTTCATTAACTTTAGTCAGTTACAACTTTAGAAGGCAGTGGTATTTTCACGACAAAGGCCGACGCACACAAGTGCGCGCCATTTAACTCGTGTTCTAGACTGATGTCTTTAGGTCGGCAACCCTGTGGTCAGAAAGCACTATCGAGTACATTAGCCGGACAATTACTTTAGCTGCACAGGAAAAAGCTTCGTGTGTTTCAGTATATGAGTGGGGCCTCTCTTGGTTTCATAAAGGGACACTAAAGGCAACAATTAAGTCGATGTTGATTGTTGAAATAGCAGGCCAAAAACCTCGTAGTGTTACTTTTGTGCCAAGGAAGTGCAAATAAAATCACGTTTTAGCAGTCCGCATCGGGTTGGCGCACTTCTAATTACCCGCCTCAAAGAAGACGTCGCACGTCGCTGTTGCCGTGCACAAAGTTGCCCGGCTTAACTGCGTGGCCGGCGACACCAGTAGGCGCAGAACAAAGGTAGCAGGAGCAACAGCAGCAAAAACGGCCATTGAACAATTTCCTGCCGTAGCCTCAAAGACGGCAGACGTGCTTGCTTTAACTGGGCCCCGCTAGGTGGCCCACCTGTCCAGTTTAATTAGGCGTAAATTGAATTTTTGAACCACTCGCACCATTCCCCATAGTAATGTCCGGCAGTTCTTTTTCCATGAATCAAACAGAAACGAACAAGCAGCATTTTATTACGTCTCTTGATGCACAGAAGATTCCTCATTTAATCCAGCTTTTTCGATTACTAGTGAATAATTGTAGGTGATACCTCTCATGTCATTAAGATCATTTTGCAGATATCCTACGCGTAATGCATGTGTTCTCATGCATTTACCATAATTTCTCGGTAGGCAGGGCACTGCTGTTGATAATATTGTCGTTTTAGACGTCATACATTGAGCTTTCAGTTTGACGTAAATTGTTACTAGACTTTAGTGTCCCTTTAAGTTGCATTTGGCAATAGCTACACTATTACATTGCTAGATCAAGTAGGCTTGGCTTTCATTTATTATCCTTAGGTGCTACAGTCGAACCCATATACGTTGAAATTGAAGGGCACCACAAAAGCGTTTTTTATAGAGGTCATTCAGTACATAAAATATCTTATACGGTATTTACTTGCATGATGAGTGCATTCGTATAATGATTGTACCCCCGGCTTTAGTCATAAGCATTTTGATCGTTTTTTTTTTCTCGCGCGAATCAAGCGCATCCCTTACTTCCGTCAGTGGCAGTCCTGCTTACCTATGCATGGCACCTTCTCACCTTACTGTTGTTTTCGTCTTCCCTTTTAAAATTATGCCAGCCCCGCCTCGGGATGCTTCCCCCTACACCCTCTGCCCGCTATCACGCGCGCTTTGTTTTTCTTTCTCTCTGTGCACGCCATGTTGCTCTCTTTTCGTACCTCTTTTTTGGAGTATTTGTAGATCGCAGCAGGATTCACAAACATTGCGAGTGTTGAGACATTGCAGTGCACATGCACACAGCCAGTGAAGATTGCGGAACTGCCTTTGCTGGCCAACAGTCGCTTGCCGCAAACATGAAACAGTAAGGGGCCGGTGGCTGTAGCATGCGGAGAAATTTGAAGATGAAGAAACGGACAGCTAATGTTGAGGGCTGCAGAAGATAGCACCATCTTTCTATAGCAATCTCCACCACTGAAGTGGTGGAATTCCTTAGGCTTTGTAAGACAGCTTATTGGAATGATGCTAGACATCAGTGCGAGTTTTAGCCCTGCTATTTTTTTTCTGCCAGCCATTCCCGCTCCACGGTAGTGTTGTCAGTCAGTTCGTTTTAGCCTGTCTTGTGTTTTGCTGTGAGCGATGAGTGGAAATGTGAGCTACATGGCCAGTTTCAAGCTACGGGCTGTGGAGTACCTCTTCACAAGCTACGAGCCTGACTGAGATGCACAGCATTATCTTTGCTGGAAGTTACTGGCCTCGAAGATGCATGTGCACTTTCACAGCGCGTACTGCTCCAGATGTTGATGTGCTGAAGGTATAACAGCGCCAGTGCCCCCTGTTTGTGCATATGGTTATGCTTGGTACAAGCATTGACATGTAAGTGGTACTAAAGCTGTAACACTGCCTGAAACCTTCGGAACAGCTGCCACTGATCTACGCCTTGCAAACTAACCTGGCCGGATCGACGAGGTTTATTTATCTTTCGGAGGGTGCGCTGTTTACTGTGATCCTAACGTTTAGTCTCGCTTGTCATTTGCAATGATTCACAGCAAGACTTGATGATACAGGTTTTTTGCAAAACTAGCAGGTCAATTAGTTGCATACAATAGTGAGACATTTTGTGGCCCACCATTACGCTAGTTTTCAGACACCTTCAGGGGTGCAACAGCTGCGTCACTTTCGCATATTTGATACGATTCCTCATTTGTGCGCCGAGCTGTGCCAAAACCATGAAATTCCGCCATGCTGTTTTAAAATGCTTAACGAGTCTCAAAATTTTCTCGGTTGCAAAAGTTTCAGGGGCTTTAGTCCCACTGAAAGGTATCTGCTGCCGTCACCAGACCAACGAATGCGTGGTAGTTTTCACCTAAGAGCCATGACTGAGGAGCAGCCTCTCCTAACTGCTGTTGAAAACACAGGGCACCGCCATCGGAAAAATGCGTTCGCCAAAAGCCTGAGCAGTGCTAAACTATAACCACTGGCTCCAGTCAATGGTTTGGTTTAGTGTCTTGTATTGCCTTGAAGTAGCAGTGAAACTTTGTTATTTTGAGCTCTCTGATAAACAAGCTTCAATGCATAGACTAAAAATGGTGTTCCATGGACGCAAAGTTGTAAGGAGTCAACTTCTTCGCTAAATTGAGAATTTCATTATCCTAAAGCTCATTGTATAGAGCTTTAACCAAGTCTCTATAATAGATTACCACGAGTTAAAATTTGCATAGCCCTTTATTACCGCTTTTTTTGTAGTTTATGCATTGCATCAGTGCATAAAATGCTACAGTTGGTGAACTGCATTGTTAGTGTGTTTGTTTATTTTATGTAGGCACTCAAAAATGGAGCAGATCAAAGAAGCTGTGGGCAGCGTCCCTCAGAAAAGTGCACATGTGTCAAATAGCAAGGAAAGAACGGGAAAGGTAAAAAGCTTTTCATTACAGTTAAATTGATTAACAGAACAGTTGTGTCAATTTTTGGAATAGATTCAGATTTTTGTGTGGACTTCAGAAGGCCCATAAGATCCAGAATTATTGATTTGTATGTGGGGTTTAACATCCCAAAACCACCATATGATTATGAGAGACGTCGTAGTGGAGGACTCCGGAAATTTCGACCACTTTGGGTTCTTTAACGTGCACCCAAATCTCAGCACATGGGCCTACAACATTTCCGCCTCCATCGGAAATGCAGCCGCCGCAGCTGGGATTCGAACCCGCGACCTGCGGGTCAGCAGCCGAGTACCTTGGCCACTAGACCACCGCGGCGGGGCCATGCAGAATTATGTTGTAGTAAGACGGTAAGTTGGGCCAGTTGGTTAGGATCCATCGTAAACTTACTTACAGCGCAACACCAGAAAAAATACAGGACAGGGAAGGAGGAAAAGAGAAAGAAAAGACGGCGCTGTCTTTTCTTTCTATTTTACTCCTTCCCTGTCCTGTATTTTTTCTGGTGTTGCGCTGTAAGTAAGTTCACGACAGAATTATGTTAACTGCCGAGCGGTTTCAGGGACCACCCTCCTTTTGTCTCATGTCTTTCGTCGGCATCACAAGGTCCCACAGTCTGGCATTGGCCTCACACAGGTTCCTTGCCTGATACACATAAACGAGCAGGCAGCGTGTTTGGAACGCAAGCACGCCAGGCTATGAACACCAGCGTTGAAGTAAGTCTGTCCAAGCCAGCTAAGGGACTGTGCAATGCTAATGTTGATGCTGGTATACAGGAGAGAGAAGTGGAAGTGAAATGACAGTAGCGGGAGCTAGACAAACCATGCTCGGAGCAGAAGAGGGTAGAAAAACAGTAGAAAGGAGACTATAAAACAGAAAAGGACATAAGATGTTATATAATGACATGAAAAGAGCAGACAAAAACAAGGGAAACACAGGCCAATCAGTGCTTTGCAGATCCTACAGCTTTCACTTGGGGTGTAACTAGGTTAGCTTTTTTTTCTTTTTATTTCGAATGAAAAATAAATAGCTATATAGCCTGGAAAATCTGCTGTTAAACTGGTTTTCATTTTTTAAAAGACTTTCCATATCAACTGAGATTTCTTTCTCCCTAAAAGGGCCACGTGTAGTAGAAACAATAATGTACACTGAAAACAGTATTTTTTCTGAACATCAAGGGAAAAAAAAATGGATCAGGAAAGTACAAGCAAAAGTTGGCTTTTATGTCTGTAATCTTTTCACTTTTACGGTTTTTACATTGTAGGTTAAAATGGCATTGTGGAGTAGTAGCACTATAGTGCAGGATGAAAGCAAGCTAGACATCATTGGCTTCGTGTTATAAAATTCCTGTTTCACATATGGATTAAACCTCTACAATATTTATTGACGCTGGCCATTTCATCAAATACGGAAGAAACTTACGGGAATGTCAGAAGACTTGTTTTTTTAAGGTACGGACAGAATGTTTTTATTTATTGGATCACTCACAAAAGCTGTGAGGTGGGCTTCCGCCAAGCACCCCTGACATCAATATTGAAATCTCAAGATGTCTGTGATGTTTGATTGCCCGGTATACACGGATAGTTCCGGCAGATTATTAGTGGCAAACATTACCTTTAAGGTATCCATGCCTATGGTTTCTCTTTAATCGTTAGTCCTGGCAGCTGACTGGTTGTTTTTATTTTACACCTGTCACACTTGCAATGAATGGGGGTAAACATAAGAGTACAAATCTTTGGTCTAGTTGGTGGTCTAATATGTGGACAACCGCGCAACAAGGGACAAGGGATGGGAAGAAACACTGACGATCGTTGAACTCACAGCTGAAGTTTTTGTCCGGTACGAAGCAAAATATAAAGAGAAACAACACGTGAACAAAAGCTTGCAAACCAATATTTGCCGAAAACCGCGATGAAGAGTCAGCCTGCATCAAGGACTGGTTGCGCAAACACAGTACTAATAATGTTTGCCAAATAAACAGCGGGCACTTAGCCCTTCGTTGCAGCACGTGTGACGCTCCTGAACGCAAATCCGGAATCGGGAGGTGATGAGTTGTGGAACGACGTGGTTCTCAACGCGCGTTATAATTGATGCAGCTGAAAACGGGAGACTCGGCAGTAGCTGCGCCAGCATCTTGTTCATTTTCTTGATGGAAAAAAAAGTTGGCTTTTCGTCTTGCGCGTGTGACTGCCGAAAGTGACGTTGGCGGATTCCCGATTGTAGTTTTTTGAAAATATTGGTTTGCAATCTTTTGTTCACGTTAATTTTTTTTATATGCTGCTTTCTTTTGGAAATTAAACCCAGTTGTAAGTTATGCGTTCGTCTGTGTTTCTTGCCCCTTGTTGCACTGTTGTCACTATAATGAGGGCAGGCAATATTGAACAGCAAGCAGGCCTAACACACTGCCCAGGGTGACTGCATCTGTAATTTACTGTGGAAGTTTCTGTGCGACATTCAACAACGCCTACCCGCTACAGTGGTCCTCTGGTTATGGTGCTTGACTGCTATCCTAAACATAGCATGATCGGATTCTTGCCGCAGCAGTCGCATTTTAAGTGAGGTGAAATCTTAGAGGCTCGTGTGCTTGGATTTAGGGGCACGCTAAAGAACTGCAGCTGGGTTAAATTTCTAGAATGTCCCACTGAGGTGTCCCTTGCAGTCATATCAGGATTTCGGGGCTAGAAACACAACGATTGCGGTTACATTAGTTCCGCTGCACCTGTGTAAAGCCGACGGCACCTCAGACAGGTGGGGCTACTGTGCCTTGTCGGAAAGCGCCCGCCTTACGGAAAATTCGCTGCTGCCTGTCGTTAGCAGCACTTTGTCGATGTTGGGTGTTGTGTTCAAATTTTGGCTGCATGCGTTCTGTTTTGTTGGATATTCTTACTGTTTGATGCCGTAGTTCAAGATAATACGGTGTAAAGTTTGACACTTGTGCTTGTGGGTGCATTCGCCGTGATTAATTACGTCGTGCAGTATACTTCGTATTCTTAGGCATGTCAAGTATTGATGCGCTAATACTCAATCAGTTTAGTTCTTTGATTGATATGAAAATTGAAACCACCTGAGGCTTGGAAGACAACAGTAGCATTTCGTGCCTCTCTATCGCAACAGTTCCAAAACACTGAACTACTGAGCGCATCCTTAAGTTGTACTTGTCTGGAGTAGTCAAATGCGTGGCCGCGAACACTGGTGCTATTCATAGCTGCTACCTCGCGTTGCGTACAAGCTTCCGTTTGTGCTTTAATTACAGCACAAGGGCCTAAAGTGCAGTACAGTAGAACTCCGCTACAACGAACGCTGCTTCAACGAAATTTCCGCTACAATGAAAAATTCACGATTCCCTGTCAGCAGTCCATAAGAGTCAATGCATAAATATTGTCGCCACAACGAACACTTTCGCTTCGATTATCCTGCTTCAACGAAATTTAACAATGCAATTCCAGGCTCAGATACTTATTTCTATGTGGTAAACCCTATCTTTAAAATTTCTATGCATTTTCAGAGCTTGAAAATGCATCAACGAAGTCTAAAACACGCGTTGGCACCACCAGGAACCGCCGCTGTTCCGCAAGCGTAGATGCCGCCATTGCTCGATAGCGATGGCAGTGGGACTGCCCTGCTTTTGCCACTCCTGCTTTTGAGCCGCAGACGATCTTAAGGGGGAACATGGCAATGAAAATTATCTTTGTTATTTATGTAGCCAAAGGTTTGATATTTGGCATGCAGATGTCACTTGTTGTGCTGATATCATAACTGAAATCGGTTTTGAGCTATCTAATATAACTTTTGAGTTACAACACTTGATAGGCTCTCATTGTCATCCCAAAATTAATTAGCTAATTAGACACAAGTTGGTCAAAATTTTTGCATAAGAATATTCACAAAGGTCCATTTTGTGCCGTAATGCTATTGGTTTATTTTTAACATTTAAATAAACATACTGAAATTTTTTTTTGAAATGTTCTGGACATATTGTCTTACCAACAACTTTTACAAAAAACCAATTACAAAAGTCTATATGATGTGCACACAAATATGGACTGCTTTACCGCACTCACCAGTGTTCACAATCTAAGTGCAGAAAACGGAATCGCTGTAGCTTAATTTGCTGTGAAATGGCATAGGGATGACCGACAACAAGTGCTCAAAAAATGAAAGCTTGGAAAATGGAGCTCAAAGAAATTGGAGCTAGAAGCTGATATAATGGAAGTCGGAAAGAAGCTGGCTTTATTTTTCATCGGAGAAATGCAGTATTGATTCTATCTTGAGCTCCACTCTGTCCTCTTTATGATGATGCCAATATGGTGGCACTGTGCCAAGGGAAAGCTCCAAATTTGCATTTTTCATGCCCAATTGTCACATAGCTTTTGATGACAGCCCACCAGTAAAATGCTTGTTTCTCAAATTCTACCACTTATTTTGGTCTAAAGTCACACTATGATGTAAAACATGGTCTCAGGAATATAGAAAAAAATTAATTGAAAAACTGAGCATTTTGACTAAATTTACTATTCCCATTGCCAAGTCCCCCCTTAAGCTGAAGCTCAGTCGCTCAGTTCACGGTTTCCTTCACGCAGCTGCTGGGTGCAACCGCGGTACAATGCCTGTGTGGTAACTAATCAGAGCTGCTGTTTGTCCGCATTATCAACAAAATCAGCTAGCCGCGAATGATGGATGATAAGAACGGCATAGAATAATGCAAAAGTGGCCGCTCCACGATACCCTGCCTCCACCTCGGCATTGTCGGATACTTTTGACGGCGGACAGCTGCTGGTGTTAACGTGTTAATGCAACTGTAACGTGTAAATGCAACTGTTTGGTTCGTTCACGAAAGGGGGATGAGGCGTTGTTTCAGCGTGCTTTTCACCATGGCCTCGCTACGCATGGGTTAGAATCACGTCGTGACGCTGCTGGGAAAGAATAGGAAGCAGCAGACATTTTTTGAATTTTGAGAATAAACGTTCCTTTGTTTTGCTAGCTCAGATCAGCTATATATATATATTTTTTTTCACTACAACGAAATTTTCGCTTCAGTGAAGCTTTTTCCGCACCCCGTCAGTTTCGTTGTAGCGGGGTTCGACTGTATGACTATGCTTAATGTAATTACTGCATCTATCCCAGCATGTTTTTGCGAAAAATGTCGGTCGACTGGCCATTCTGGACAGGTTTGATTCAGACTGTACATAGTGACAGCACTGCATGTGTAGGGCTATTGTTACATTCTTGTTTAATCATTTTGAATACAGGTGATTTCGAAGGACCGCATGGAGCTGGAAAAAAGAACTCCCGAAGCAAATGTGAACGAGCTCTCCCGTAACACAAGACGTGTAGCTGGCGCTGGAGCGCCTCGGGCAGTTCCACCTTTCGCTGCTCATCGAGGTGCCGTCCTGCATTTTCTGTCTTTTCGGAAGTTTTGAGACTTGGAGTGCCTTTTAATTATGCAAATGCATTGTTAGTATTTTTATTATTGTAGTTTATGTGTATCTTACGTGATTTCGACTTTGGGTGGCAGGCAGCGTAATTCACGACGGGCATCTCAAGCTCGAAAGGGACCACAAAATGATATGTGTTGTCATATGTTTCACCGACTTCAAGCCTCGAGCTCTGCATGTTGATTAAGCAAGATAGTAGTACAATTTCAGTAAGCAGTGGATAGCACGTGCAAGCATCAACAAAGAGAGTACATTTTTGAGTGAAACTACTAGTTCCAGAGCTTTCGTGGTGATAGGCAACAGGACCGTCGCATAGTGTGCGTCGCTTTGCTGCACTATTAGCTTATTTGTTTGGATGCCTGCATGAATAGTGGAGGCCATGTATTTTACCCCCAGTTTATGGCTGTTTTTTTTTTTGTTGCTGAAGCACACAAGTTTAAAATGTAATTTGCAAGAATGGGAGCTTGGTATGGTTGATGGATAGTCATACTGGCAAGCTTTCTTAGCGCCATAACATAGGAAAGGCGGACAGAGTAGACATAAAGAGTGCTGTCTACTATTTCGTTTTTTCCTATGTTTGCGTGCTGAAAGAACTTGCAAGTTTCATTTTTTTTTTGTTCCAAAGGACATGCACTTACAGTTTCTAATTTGTTGCTGGAGAGAGTCAGTGTTTCTTTTATGTGTTTTTGTTACTGGAATGACAATTGTAACCTTATTACTGCATACCTTAAATGTGGTCTCCTTTATAGAAACTGGCTGCGAATGAGTTAGTATGAATCCTGTTTGGCGGGAAAAAGAGTTACAAAAGGGATAATCGCCAACCACCCGTTCGGAGCACAAAGCGACAGGGAAATCCCTACAGATTTGTCAGAAATAAAAGCGTCTCAGTTGATTGTAAAACTATTTTTGCAACTGTATCATTCTAAAGAGATTGTTTATAGAGCTTCCATTTTTTGAGGTAACCATTCAGTGTTTATCGGGGGGGAGGTTTCTGGCGTCGCAATTGACCATGTGCTCCACTGCATGATCGCAAAAAGGATTCGAGGTGAAGCCGTGTCATTTTGTGCATTTCGTTCACACTTACCTTTGAACTATCCTTTAAACTGCTTTAAACTGCATTTTCGGCCAGCGAATTTGTCACCTTGCAGGTGCTTTTCGATGTCGTAGTCTTGCTGTGGCAACACCTGTGTGGCAAAAAGAAGAAGAAAAAAAAAACCAGATTGAACTTGCATCATCCCAAAGCCGTGTCATAGGCGTCCTCTTGTGTTCATGACATGAAATCAAAGTTACGATATCTAGCTTTACGTTTCATGGGCCGTTCTTTTTTTTTATTCTTCCAGGCTCTCTACAGGGGCACAGTAGTTCAGCAGAATCCCCCGAAAGGGAAAAACGACCTGAAGGTCTTCCGTTTCCTTTTGAAAACTTGCCAGGGTACATTCGAAGGGCTCTCAATGACAAGAAGCCGATTCCCCGCGCTGAAAGAAGGGCTCTGGTACGATGTGTAGTTGAAGAACTGACAGAAGCCTGCCCCCGGCCCACACGGGAATTCTTCCAAGAGGCAGCCATGGCGATCGTCAAAGCTTTTCCCGACGCCCTTGCAGATCGTCGCCCGGATGGCAAACTGCGCGGAAAAGGATACAGCTCTTTTTGTGAACAACTTAAGGCCCGCGCCAATTACCTTGCCCTCAGAAGACGAACCATCTCGCCAGGTGAGCAGAGGCGCCGAAACCCAGCTGAGCGGTCATATGTGGCTTTGCCGACCGACAGCCTGTGAGAGGAACTCGGAGCCAGTAGTTGATATCGATGTCAAGACTTGCTTAGCGAATGTCCGGCAATTTGTGGGTGTCTATCGACCTAGCTGCCCACATTTGCTGGACATTCACCGAAAGTGGTATGATGAACATGAGGGACAGGTCATAACAAATAATATCCATGTTATGCATGTCATGTACTGCATCACTTCAATGAGAAGATGCCCTCCTCACCCATTCATTATTTACGATATACCGAAATTTGTGTGGTGTTGTCAGACTCTTGCGCATCACAAAAAATAAGTAACCGATGGTGGTTGCAATGAGTAACCGATGGTGGTTGCAATCCTCGAATTGTAATGGATTACAGTGGTCAATTACAGGATAAGTAACCAAGAAATTACGCAGTTGTGAAAAGACCTTGTACAGGTATCATAATGAGCAGGGAATTACGTTACCATATATAATCATAATGAACAGGGAATCGTACTTTATGCAATGTAAATTGTGAGACAAGTGGGTGGCCTAATGCTTCCCACCCACAACCAAGTTCATCAACAGCTCTTGTCATCATCGGCTCTGGCCTCAACAAATCGCACATAATGCCTTACAAACGTGCAGCAGGTATTTCGTTTTCCCGAAGAATAACAAACAATGGTATAGTGGGTAGTTCGTTACTTCACAATAGTTATTATTTATCGCATAGTGGATACCTTGCAAGCGTAATTGTGTTAGTTGCCTCAAGTGAATTCCTAACGAGCTCTAGGAAGCTGCTCCCTCGGCTTTAGCTGCGGCTCTGCTGTGTGTCCCACTCAGCCCCGGAATTTCTTTACTTTCAAAGATTGGATCGTGCTCGTCATTTCCCGCCATACCTGCGCGATATGCAACGAGATCGGTCTTGAATATGCTGGTCAAGTGTTATGAATGCACGTGACGTTTTGAGCTGCAGTCTTTATTTATAGGCCGCACGAAATGACCCGTCATGTGCGTAGTATTCATTTAAGGAGAAAAGACACCTCTAGGATTTGCTGTCTACATTGACCGTCCTAGTATAAGGGAATTCTGAAGGTGCAGGATTTAATAAAGCTGAAGTGATACAAGACTTTACCTTCTACCCGATAAGGACTCGTGATTTTTATTTGTGCTGTGAGCAGGAGTGGCTGCTTTTTTGTTTTTTTTTTCCGTTCGCAACTTGAAATCAAGATGACCGTATCTAGTTTCGTGCTGTATAGGCTGTTTTCTTTGTTCTTTTTTTATTCTTCCAGCTACTCCATGGGGGCACACTAGCTCAACGTATTCTGCTGAAGGTTTTTCGTTTCACCTGATATATGTGCCAAAGTTTGTTCAAAAGGCTCTCAAGGCCAGGAGACCACTTCCGCAGAGAGAAAGAAGGGATCTGGTCCGATGTGTAGCCGAACAACTGACCACAATGAGTGACAGGCCCCAGCGGAACTTGATTCGACAGGCAGCCATGGATGTTGTGCAGGCCTTTCCCGACGCCCTTGAGGACCGCAACCCAGACGGCGGACTGCTTGGCACAGGATACGACTCCTTTTTCCAACAATTGGAAAGTCTCATTGAAACGTTGCTAGTCAGAGAGTAAAAAGAACCGTCGTGTCAATTGCGCAGCAGTTGCAGCAAAGTTGCGGCAGGAGAGCCACCAAGGATTTATACGGCTGTGTTAACTGGCAGCCTGCGACGAACTCGGACCCACCAGAAGAGGTTGACGAGAGGATTCAGTTTCTAAAACGAGAGGCGAAGAAAGGCCCAAAAGAGATCGACGCGCGCCGTTGTTCTGACTACATGGAGGAAATGTATCCGGAACAGAGGAGCTTCATAAACGCTGATCCCCCTCCCAGTATTTCTGCGGTGAAAGATCAATGGCCCATGCTCTTCCACAGGCCGTTCTTCTATAATCACGGGAACAAGCTGCTCGCCAAGGATGTCAAGGTACACATGGCTTCTTCACTTACAGTGTTTCTGTAATGTCCGAATTTTGTGCTTGTCACCTTCATTACTAGCTCCACCACTGACAGCTCACCATGACTCATCCGAGTGTCGGACACCAAAGTTTCTTACCATAGGCTATATATGTATATTTTTTTCGGCCAGCGAGTACTCAGTCAATTTCTCTGAAAAAACTTTATATGTCTAGCTTCCTCTTTGAACTGCGAGGTGGTGTAAAAGCTTGCACTATCTTTTGTCCCTCACTTCTTTTTATTGTCCGTATCACTTGTGGCCACCCCTCTTCCCTGAGAATTGCGAAGAACCTTTTTATGTCATTGTTATCCTTACTATACCCACTGCAAAGTAAAAGCCTCTTCCGCATCTCGCTAATCGATATGTTCTTGTGTTTGCTGTGGGCATGCTATCCCCGCAGGGTAATCTGCCCGCCTAACCTCCTGCTTCACTACCTGTGTGCATGCGTGTCTTGTTCGAATCCATTCTGAATGGCTCTCAAATAGATACGACCTCTCCAATGCGATGAATTGAAACCTTGATATAACGAACCCAGATATAACGAAATGTCAAAACAAAGTAATTAAAAAAGTCTTGAAATAGACAGTGTTAGTAATATACCTTCATAACGAATTTTTGGACATAACAAACTTATTTTTGTGTAAGGTACAACTTTGTTATAATGAGGTTTGAGTGTACAGCTGCCCCGATTTTTAGCTATTGTGCGCGAGCGCTGACTTTTTTGTGCATCAGCGTAATACGACGGAGTCAAGTTGCAAATAGGGCGAGAGTACGCGCATGCTCACGAGGCGCGCTCAGCTGGGCCCATCGTCTGCTTGGCTGAATTCCTTCGTGACAATGTCGCCCTGCATTAGCTCACACGAGACGATCCAGATTTGTCAGCTTATCTCGCGCACCTGGGTGTATCTGCGGATTTCATTTTCTGTCTGAGTTGCTTGCCGATCTTCGGAGTGAGGGATACGGGCAAGACGCGCAGCCTCTTCGTCTGAAGTTAGTTAATGCAGGGTGACGTTCTCACGAAAGAACAGCTAAGCAGACGATGGGCCCAGCTGAGAGCGCTTTCTGGGCACGCACTTTCTCTTGATCTGTTTGCAACTTGACTCCATCGTACGGCGCTGACGCACTGGAAAGTCGGCGCTTGTGCACTATAGCTAAAGATTTGGGCAGCTGTACAAACCTTGGACATTAGGTTTCTGACTTCTACTTAGTCTCTCGCAAATCCTACTGCTTAGTATCGCAGTTGTGGGTTCAAATCTACTTGCCGCCGGGTACCAACCGGTTTTTCCAAACGTGCACAGGCGTCCCCTGGCCCGACACTGAGCTACTGTCAGAGGCGTAACGTCTGGGAAAGGCAGCCTACGCCATTCAAGTCCCGTCAAAACACGTGAGCAGAAAGAGTTGAGGTAAAACTCGCTCGGTAAAACAAGAAAATGTGCTGCCACCAGTCGTTGCTGTTTTGAAAATCCCCAGGAGACCGGTGTTTACACCTCATTGAAACTCACAATGTGCTAGGTCCTAACCTCTTTCCGGCTTTTATTATTTTGTGGGATGTCAATACACTTAGAATAATACCAAATGGTACAAATTTCCAGAGTCCTCCTTTGATGCATGCCTTATAACAATTTTGTTGGCTTTGGCACGTGAAATTTTATCATGAAAGAAGTCTGATGATTCATGAAACAGGCCCTTATCTTCACATTTGACGAGGTTGGAATGTTAAATTCTGCCAGCTTCAGTTTCTATATCAAGTTTAATGCAATCGACACTAAATTAGTGCTCTGCCAATGCAGTTAGGTTTTCGTAGTTTAAAGATATGTTTACTTGAACGCAACCATTTCTTGAAGGAAAATTAAAGGTTCTTGGAAATTTCGCCCTAACTTTAATAAAGAAGTGTTTCTATCTGAATGCAAGAGTGCAAAACATTGTTTGCGGGGAAAGCAGGTCCAAAAAACACTCCATTTCACTTTCACGTGTGCCGCATACACAGTGAATTGAAGACGCACATATCGTTATGAAACGAACTAACACCTAAATAATTCTTAAAGGGTCCCAACAACACTTTTTTAGGCATGGTTAGAAAACACTGCCGATCGGCAGTCGAGGTTCTTGAGAGCACGAGACCCATACATTACAGCGCAGTCTGCGGCCTTATGTTGCCTTTGGTTGGGTGTTGCGTTCGCGAAGATGTACTCCTTTCGCATCGGTATGGCAGACACCTCCACATGCGACTCCTGCAGAACTGAAGAGACCACTGAACACGTCCTGTGCAGCTGCGCTTACTACAACACGCAGCAATGCCAGCTCTGGATGGTTTCGAACCAACTGAACTCTAGACCATTTTTTGTGCGGAAGATTTTGGGACCTTGGGTGTCTGCCTCGATTGAGCAGAAAGCGACTAAGCACTCCTAGATTACTTGAAGACAACAAGCCTGAGCGACCGCCTGTAGACTGTGTGTGCCTTTCTTATCTCTCTGCAACCTCTTTCCTCCCCTTCATTTCTTCCCCAGTGCAGGGTAGCAAACCGGATGTGTGTCTGGTTAACCTCCCTGCCTTTCCTTGCTTCCTTATCTCTCTCTCTCTCTCTCTGCGGCCTGGAATTTACAATCAATTTTAAGTCAGCTGGGAATCGCTTCTTTTTTCTCTTAAAAACTGAGTCCATAAAACCACATGACCATGCCGTAAATCCAAATTCCTTGGCCGCGAGCTAAATTGAGCATCTCGAGCTGCATATTTATCACTGCCGCTGCAGCGTGCCACCGCATGCCTACGTGCTGGCTCGTGATGCTGAAATAACGCCGTGCATTCAAAACGAAGAAGGTTCTTGAGGTTATGAGGTGGGCCGACATGGTAACGTAGCTTTCCGACCCCTTTTCATCACCTTGTCACACCTGTCCCGTTAATTAGGGAGGCGATCGCCGGGCTAATTCCAAGGGTCGAAGTATCGACCCCCCGAATCGCACCACGAAAGCGTGGACAATTTAGAAGTGGTCCTTTTTGGCGCGCCAGCGGACGCCGGCTGTGGTCCAAAGAACAAGTCAGAGCCGAGAGTTGATAAACAAACAAAATTATATTCTCATTAACGGCAGATCAAAACACAATACACACGTATGCACACTCCACAATAGTTACATACAATACGTCACCAATCAAACAACGTACTACACAGTACAATCAGCCACAATTGAAACAACGGACACAGACAACAATACGCCCTACAATGCAGTCGCATGCATTGAATAACCAATACACTTAAAGACTAAAGAGATATAAAACCTATTCAGTCCAAAGTCCTTGGAACAAAAGTCTGAATGATACTCTTCCGAGAATCACTCACTCAAAGTCCAGCGTTGTTGTCGTTCTGCAGCCCTCGAAGTTTCTCTTCCAGGAAACCTCCCGTCTTCAATTGGCCCCTCTTCCAACTTCAACTTCTTCGCCGGAACACGTCGGCTTCACACACGCAGCTGTTGCCCCGCGTCTTCGCTCGATAGCGGTAAACACACACTCTTGCCGGTAGCTCGAGTCGTCACCCCTCAGGTGGAAATCCTCTTCACCTCCGGCCTCGTCCCTACGGACCAAAAACTTCGCCGACTACACGGCGGAATCCCTACGCGCTCTGGCGCTCACTTCCGTCTCCTCCTGCTTTCTCGTCTCGGCTGCTCGATTAAATACGTTCCGCGCCACCTTCTAGAAAGTTCTCCTCATTTCGTCGGCGCGATGCGCAGCGAAAGCTGGGGAGAGGTGCGAGACGGTTCGACTGCCCTTCGCGTCGGATGACTCATCTCGGTGTGACCACGCCTCCTTCGTTCTAGAAAAATCGCGGGCTTGCTCGGCCGCCGTTGTGGGGTGAGGGGTTTCATAATTGAAGCCACGCTTCTGCGGGGAGAGCGCGCGCCCGGGGAGCCTTGGCCGTTTGTTTTCTTTTTCTTTCCTTTTTTTTTCTTTTGACTTCGCGGCGTTCTTCCGCGCGTTACCGCAAGAATTTGCGGCGCGCCTATTTTTAGCGCTCGTTCTGTGACACTGCCCCCCACTTTAAGAATATTATCTCGTAATATTCAAAACCCCACAGACGAGCGCGAACAGTCACCACACACTCTTACAGACTGTAACACCATCAGTCGCTCATGACACTTCACATTCACAATAGATCACCTAATACAATTGTACATTGTAAATCAATTAAGCAACACGTGAAAACACAACCACAAGCACATGAGTACAACACTCCACCACACATTCCCAACAATACAAATGTACAAAGTTCTCTCATTACAACAATGGTACAATACTATACATCACATCACAGCACAACACTTCGACACTTGTGACACATGATAACACAACATTAACACAACATATGACACTCAACGCTGCCAACCACATTCTGCTTTGACCTCAGCACTTATCCTGAGTACTTCGAGCAGCGCTTGCGCCCCCTTTTGCGGTGCTCGCTCGATCTCTTCTTGTGCTTCCACGTTCTTTTTCGGCGAGCTCTTTCCAACGACGATATTTGAGGCATTGTCTCAGCCATCGTTGTCTCTTCCGACACCGTTAACGCGTCATTACATTCGACGGGTCCTGTCTGTTTATTTACCCGCTTGATCATGCCTCTACATTTTTCCCGGCTGGCCAACTCCGTCTCCTTTACAATGTCGGTCGGTTGAGGTCGTGCCGACGCAAGCCCGGTTGCTCGGCCCGTGAACTTATTCGACACGATCGTCTTCTCCTTCGCTGTCTCTTGCGCCGCGGCTTCGCCTCGGGCTCTAGTGAGATCCGTCACGGGATGCTCCTCCACTGTATCTCGCGGCCGCTGTGTTGGCGAGGGCTCTAACTTCGGGTCTTCTCCCAAACATTCTGGATCACTTGGCCCTCGCGCCCCGTCGATGTTTCCGATGACAAGGTCATACAGGGGGGTCGTCATGCATAACGCAGTAACCTTCCCGCTGAAGTACGGGGTTTCAACTTCAATTTCTGCTTCGGGAAGCATCCGGACCGTACGGTCAATTAGGCAAACCGGTTTCGTTCTGCCTGTCAACTCTCTTTCCCGTACCAAATTTCTCCTCACGATAACCGTGGAGCTACCGGTGTCTCTTAGAACCGTAATCTTCTTGCCTGCAATCTTTCCAGGAAGCGTTGGCATTTCCTTCGTAACACCGGTTGGCTGTTTTGACATTACAGCCCCCACAATAGGAATTTTCTCCCCATTCTTCAACTCTACGAATCCATCAGTGACGGCATTATTATCAGATTTCGGTGCTGCTTGCACGCAGGATACCTGGTGAGTTTGACTCACTCCGTTCCGACATGCATCTGCTTTGTGCCCAGTCTGACCACACTTGAAACATTTTACAACCGTAGGGCTCGTAAAGATCGTTCGACAGTTTTTCGCGCGATGACCCACTCGGTTGCACAGAAAACATCGCGGAATGCTCTCTGGTGCACGCTTCTTTTCTTCGGGAGCCAATTTCTTCGAATCGTCGGGACACTCCTTCTTTACCTTGGCCAAATTAGTGCCACCTTGCGCTTCCAAGAATTGATCAGCTAATTCAAGCATGTCTTCAAGTGATTTAGCTCTCCTCTCTTTCAAGTACAGCGACAGGCTTGGGTGGCAACTAGTAAGAAATTGTTCTCTAATTAGGAGCTCTCTAAGCTCATCGTACTCCTGTGCTGTCCCTGAAAGTTCAATCCATCTGTCGAAATAATGGCAAAGTCGGGCGGCATACTGCGTAGCCGTCTCCCCATCAGCTGGCTTTCCTGTCCTAAATCTGTCCCGGAATCCTTCCACGGTAAATCTAAATCGCTTCAACAAAGCAGCTTTCACCTTTGCGTAGTTGGCTGCATCGGTCGGCGTCAGCCTGCCGTACACACTGAGCGCTTCACCACTCAAGCAAGTACTCAAAGCAGTTGCCCATTGATGTTCCGGCCAATTCTGGCTCTTCGCAATCGTCTCGAATCGGTGAAGGTACGCGTCAAAGTCGTCCTTCCTTTCATCAAACGCCACGAGCAGCTTGCTTGGGTTCAAGCGGAAGCCATGATCTTCCCGTTCGCTGCTTTCAACTCTAGATTGGACGGGAGTTTCACTTCGCTGTTGCAACCGGAGCCGCTCGAGTTCCATCTCGTGCTGCCGCTGCCGTTCTCTTTCCTCTTTTTCTTCTTTCAGCTGTCGCTCCTTTGCCTCTCTTTCTTCTCTCGCCCTCTCAGCGGCCAGCTTTTCTCTCTCCAGCTCCAACTTCAACTGCTGCTCTCTTTCTTCTTTCAGCTGTCGCTCCTTTGCCTCTCTTTCTTCTCTCGCCCTCTCAGCGGCCTGCTTTTCTCTCTCCACCGCCTCTTTCTCCTTCTGGCTTACCCACTTCCGTAGTTCGGCGCCAGAAAGACCCATCTTCTCACCAAGAGCAACTAACTTTTCGAGATCCATTGTATCTCGCAAATAAGACCTTGCCGCGTGCAAAAAGTATCTGCCTAAATCGGTCTATCGGAACACTCCCCTGCACTCGTTAACGAGAACACTGAACAACACACAAAATCGTTCCGATAGCACTATCAACAACTCGAGGCTCTTTCTCACTACTTTGGACACACTGTGCACCAAAAGGTCCTGTTTCGCGGACACCAGATTAATTGTCACACCTGTCCCGTTAATTAGGGAGGCGATCGCCGGGCTAATTCCAAGGGTCGAAGTATCGACCCCCCGAATCGCACCACGAAAGCGTGGACAATTTAGAAGTGGTCCTTTTTGGCGCGCCAGCGGACGCCGGCTGTGGTCCAAAGAACAAGTCAGAGCCGAGAGTTGATAAACAAACAAAATTATATTCTCATTAATGGCAGATCAAAACACAATACACACGTATGCACACTCCACAATAGTTACATACAATACGTCACCAATCAAACAACGTACTACACAGTACAATCAGCCACAATTGAAACAACGGACACAGACAACAATACGCCCTACAATGCAGTCGCATGCATTGAATAACCAATACACTTAAAGACTAAAGAGATATAAAACCTATTCAGTCCAAAGTCCTTGGAACAAAAGTCTGAATGATACTCTTCCGAGAACCACTCACTCAAAGTCCAGCGTTGTTGTCGTTCTGCAGCCCTCGAAGTTTCTCTTCCAGGAAACCTCCCGTCTTCAATTGGCCCCTCTTCCAACTTCAACTTCTTCGCCGGAACACGTCGGCTTCACACACGCAGCTGTTGCCCCGCGTCTTCGCTCGATAGCGGTAAACACACACTCTTGCCGGTAGCTCGAGTCGTCACCCCTCAGGTGGAAATCCTCTTCACCTCCGGCCTCGTCCCTACGGACCAAAAACTTCGCCGACTACACGGCGGAATCCCTACGCGCTCTGGCGCTCACTTCCGTCTCCTCCCGCTTTCTCGTCTCGGCTGCTCGATTAAATACGTTCCGCGCCACCTTCCAGAAAGTTCTCCTCATTTCGTCGGCGCGATGCGCAGCGAAAGCTGGGGAGAGGTGCGAGACGGTTCGACTGCCCTCCGCGTCGGATGACTCATCTCGGTGTGACCACGCCTCCTTCGTTCTAGAAAAATCGCGGGCTTGCTCGGCCGCCGTTGTGGGGTGAGGGGGTTCATCGATGAAGCCACGCTTCTGCGGGGAGAGCGCGCGCCCGGGGAGCCTTGGCCGTTTGTTTTCTTTTTCTTTCCTTTTTTTTTCTTTTGACTTCGCGGCGTTCTTCCGCGCGTTACCGCAAGAATTTGCGGCGCGCCTATTTTTAGCGCTCGTTCTGTGACACACCTCTCCTGTATACCTTTCAGCATGCTTTCAGGTACGAAAAAAGAAGGAAGGCGCTTGAAGCATGCGACAAAGCCTCGTAATTCTGCTCGTACTTCGCAGATTCTGAAATTTCTTTCGGGCACACGATTCCCGAGACAATAAACCAATTTAACGAAGCCATTCGATGATTACTTGAGAAAGGGTTGCTGGGTCGCTGTATAGTAAAATAGCACAGTTGAGTAAAGGTCATGCTGCCCAAGTATTTAGACCGGTTGAACTAATGGGGTAGCTGGCAGAACGCAGCACAAGCCCGATTGATCGACGAGTCAGAGCAAAGCCGAACGTTTAGTGTTTCCTAATTAAAAGTCCAGCAATTTTTCTTAAAATGCAAGATAAAAAAAAATCAAAGCATTCCTTCCTCTGAATGTGACAAAGAGAAAATACTTTATTAAACCAGATGTAGGACTTTTTGTCGCTTGTTGCAATCACTCATATTTAGTTTGTTCAATTTTTTATTTATTAAGTAGTATTTTCATTGTGGTTTTGCTCAGATTGCCAGCTTCATTGTATCTTGTATGTGCTTGATGTCTATTGCTTGCTGAAGCTGATTCAGGATGCTGACTTGGCCACATGCTGTCACTAATCGGTGCATGTGATGTTTCAGGCTATATTTGATCAAAAAGTGTCAACATATGCGCCACCGCTTGTTCGATACATGGAGACGATCACAAGGACAGATGTCATATATATACTGCTGGCCATGGAAAAAGGGACAAAAAAAGGCAACGCGAACGCAGAAGAGGAAGCTATGCTACCCCTTCTGTGCTCATATTTCAGAGAAGATGAAAGGCATCTCTATCGGGTCTTAGAAGTGAGTTGCATTCCGGTTTGAAGTTTTAATTGTTGTTTCACATCTTCACCAAGCATTTCACGTGTGCCAAAAGTTATATGTATAATTTTTTGGGGTGAACAAATTTTTTTTTTTCAATACAAAGTGAGTTCGAAACCACTGTTCTGGTGCTCATGCCTAGGTCCACAGTAAGCTTCATCAAAGCGGCAATGGTGTCGAAGACCTTGTGCTCAATCTTATCTAGACACACCTAAATTGGCTTCTGTTATAATGTTTCTGTTTTAGAGTGGGAATATTTCTGCTTCAAGTTCAATCAGAACAAGTATATTTTGTCAGAAAAGCAAACTGGAGATTACAATGTACGCAAGATGTGGGCTTATATTACCGTTAAAGAATTTTTAAATCTAGTAAATTGTCTTGGGCGCCAAACTGAATTAGTTTTATTATATATTTGCAGCTCAAATAGACCTATGACATTTATTCTTGGATATTGTGACTCGATGATACTAGATTATTTCAACATGCCATTATTCTTCCCAACGTATACATTTTTCCAAAGAGCCCACCCGGCACACCACTGGGTAAATATGAAATTTTAAGTGCTTCACAACTGCTCATTGTGCAAGCAAATTAATTGTAAATTCAAAACCAGGGTGCGAAATTGCATTGTTTATACAATTTTGATTTTACGATCATTTGTAGAACAAAAGCTTCTGCTTCGCCTTTAACAGGAGAACGCGGTTGTAAAATCCGAAGCCTTTCGTGGAAAACCGGGTTCAAAGGACTAATACGCCTGGAGAGGAAAAGCAGAGCGTCTTGACGTACGTTTATTGCGGCATAGATCCAAGAACCCCCCACGTGCCACGGGCGTCTCTCTCGTCCTTCTCTTCCTCTCCTGCGCTCTATGTCCACTGTTTTTAACAGCGGTAACATAATCGGGCCCTGTTCACTTGTTTTCTCAATCGCCGGCCTGGCTTCACGTCTCGGTAAACACCTTGACTGCATAAAACTGGCCGTCTAAAACTAACCTATAGTGCCTACTGCAAGCATAGTTTCAAAGTATGCACTATGCGACCATAAGGCAACACCTGTGCACCTAATTTATGCTTCAGCTGATAACGATCAAGTATGTCTGTGTGCCCCATGACTGGTGGGATTTGAACCAATCACTTGCGTTGATCACGTGTTTTGACGCCTATGGTAATTACGTGCGTCTCCCGTGCAATATTACGTGCTTTAAGAACACTCCTTACTCGTCATGACTATTGTGTTTTTTTTTTTGTTTTTTTTTCGTGACATTTTTAGGCACGAGCGTGGCTCTTTTGTAGAACACCTACTCCCCTAACATGAATCCTAGGTTTGGTTCCTGCTCACACTAAGGATTTTCATTATTCATTTATTTACATTTATCTCGTATTTCTGCTCGGGGACAATGCCGAGCTTTCGCTGGCAATCAATAATGCAGACGCCGGAATTTCCGCATAACGAACTCGAAACACGTTGCGTTACGACACCCGCGAATGAAAACAAAGAGTCCAAGTGAAATGTTCAAAGGTTTCAAACGTTTTCTTGGGGAAATTATTCATGTACTGGTGACCCGGATTCCCTTTTGTTCCGTCTTTCAGGAAGGAACGGACATCGCAGAAATACTCCCCGAGCTGCCAAGCACCCCTACTATCGTTGCACTTGGTATGTTCCCGCATAAGCTTTTATTTTTTTATTTGCATTGCTATTTACTCAAGGATGATGACGTAGCCCAGCTGACATAGGCTTTGGCTTCATCCACATGTTATCTAGCAGCTCAACGGGATGGGGGTGGGGAGGTGTAATTGAAGGCTGGCCTTGAAGCTCCCAGCGCACCCTGTTCCTGGCACACCTACATTTTCTTTCTTTCTTTCTTTCTCTCTCTTTATTCTGAAAAGTACAAATGGACTAGTTGCAGAAAGTGACGGTGGATGTTCATATGGATTTGGTCCGACGAGAACGGCAAGCGTTGCCGCTGTGAATAAAGAAGGAAATAATGATAAAATTCTTTTCGTTGGACAGTGGTCTTTCCTGAGTGCACTTAAAAAGTAGGTGAAAGATTAAGATGCGTGTTATCTTGCATGTCTGATTGGCGTTTATCTTTATCTGCATCAAATCACAAATAAAAGTTTTATTATGTTGTGGTGACGTGGTCTTGGAAAAAAAGGAAACCAGGCATTGGTCCAATTTCAGGACTGCTTTCTTGTCGAATATATGCAGGTATTTCGCTGTTTCTGTATGTATGCCCACACGTCTAATTAGTTATTAATTATTGTATCTAAGGAAACTAAACAGCATTTTTTGGCATTTAACACCACAAATGCCTCATCAAAAAACGACACATTCAGTATAATTTGTCCTTCATAATTCAAGCATGAACAGTTTCTATGTTCAAGAGTTCTGAACCCTATGTGGTAACGCTAATTCCATTTAGCCTCTCAATGAGATTTCTTTTCTTTTGAAACTTAATTCAGTTGTCATGTGCCCCCATCTTTCGAAAACTTTTGTCATGATAAGGAATATATACGTCACATAAATTGTTATGGACAATTTCAATAAGTACCTTTATTGTTTTTTAACATACACTTTGTCTTTGCAGTGACTGAATCATATGTAATTTTCCTTGAAAAGCGCTCCATGTATATGGCTTTCACAAAAGCCAAAGCTCTTGTGCTCTGATTGCAGCTTATGTAATGGCAACCTTTTTTTCTACAATTGCTTCACAACTCACCTTGCACTGATTATGAAAGATGAAGTTACGTTGACCCACTGCTTTGCTTGCCATCATTTTGCAGGAGGCATTTTCCAGAAGAAATGCTTTGTGACTTGCGAACAGCAGATCCTTTTCACAGAGCCTGTGGACTTTTCGGAGGCGACCTGTCTTTTACTTCTCAGCTACTATGTTTTCAACTTGGCCTATCCAGACCCTGTTGCGGCAACTCTGGAATTTCTTCAGAGGTGAGAGATATGCAGCAAATAATGCAATCACTCCTGCGTGTGCCAGCATATCGGCCTGCAGTATGGATAAATAAATAAATAAAAAATGCCATTGGCTGTAAAATGTACCAGCCATTTCGGTGACCACCTGAAAAGCGTTAGAACAATGTCGCAGTCTCACTGCAGTGGCAAAGCAACAACCTAATAGCAACAATTTAGAATGTCATGCAAAGACCGGCGAGCAGCCTGAACGTGCAGCACGCTTCTCAAGCACAAAGGATGCATAAAAAGAACACGTTCAACAATAGTGCAAACAAACAACATTCACAGCTCAACATTTAAAAGGGGCCCAGCGACACAATTTAAGCTTGTACTTTTCATTGCTTCTTGTCGAACTGTAGAATGCACCAATACGGTCGTGCGAGGGACACATCAGAAACAAACTCGCTATAACTTCGTTTCAACGGAAAAACCACTTCGCTTTTGGACTAGAGCGACGCACAGCTATTATTTGTGGCAAGAAGTGAGACTTCAGCACGCGGGAGTGACGACATTCGCCGGGCATTTTGATCGGCCTGATGCGACGAGTCGCATGTAATATTCATACTGTCCCAGATAGGCCGCACAACTGTGTGATAAAGAAAATAAAAACATGTTATAATGCTTCCTCGGATACAAAAGGATTTTTGCTTTTAAGCAGGAAAACTTAAAAATAATTGTAAAATGACATTATTTGGGCCGCACAACGGCCTCCCTGACTCAGTGAAAGGTGCCAGTGATGAAAACCGACCTCTTACGGCAGTAGGAAAGTGAAATATGAAAGAGATCATTTTGTCCTGTTATACTACGGTTTCAAAGTTTGAGGACCAATAACTTCTATTACTGTGCAGCCATTTCGATAATATTTTAGGGGTTCACCAGTATTCAGTGCTACATGGGTTAGAGCTCTGCAGATTGCCGACAAAAAAAAATTGCAGGGCTCCTTTAGAGCACGCTGTTCGTATGGAATGAATGCACAGATATTCATGGGACGAGCACAAATTATCAATTGTCGCCTTTGTTATTTCATTGCGTTTGAGCTGCTTCCTTCTTTCGCAAAGTGACCACTTCAGCAAGCGAAGTGACACCTTTGTGCATTATGTAAGTTCAGCACAAACTTTCTAGAAAAAGCATAAGACGCAAAGTTGGGTAACATACGAATTTGTTAAAACTTGGGGCCACTACAGCGTGATGCACAGACTAGAGATAAGCCTCAGGACGAGCACTTGACATTGATGCTCATCAGCTCAGCAAATGCAGGCCTTCGCACTTCATCACAAGACAAATACTGTACACGGGTCACAAAGATGGACCCAAGAAACGTGAGGCAAGAGGTGGTGTTTCTTGGCGTTGTTCTTTGAACGAAGTTCCCTGGTGGTACTTTCATGTTGCATAGTCTCAGTGTGTTTGATCGTTCAGGTAAGTCAAGCAAAATGCGCACTGGAGCCACACAGTAATTGGCTATGTATAACTAGCAAATTATGAGCGCTTCAAAGTTTCTAAACATTACAGGACCCTCGCACTGCTTTCAAAGCAGGAACGGATGCTAATCTGGCTTCAAATTTTTTTTAGAAAATCACATGAGCTGGAGAAAAAATTCTGCTAACTAATTTGAAATACTTTCCAGGGAGACGTTCTCTATCAATCCCTCAGAGGCAGCAAATGCGAGAACGAACGAAGGTCGAGGACTTCCGTGAGCAGTAAGATAATGCAACTATTGCATCGCCTGCGTTGAAGGCGCAAAGTTGTAAGTTGACTTCCGCTGGTGTTACTTGCTGATCTGCTCTAATACTTTGCTTGTATGTGCGAAGCCCGAAACCCACCAAGGGTGTACTAGACACGTGGGTTAGCAACAAGTCCTAAATTCTGAACCTGTGAGGTGGTCCATCGGGATTAATTTTAATGAAATAATTCTAAAGCAGCTGTTTTTACGCAATAAGGCACCATTTCTGATGACAGCAGAAATTTTTCGTGTTTGCTTAAGCCCTGCTATAACGAACCCTGTTATAATGAAATATCGGTCATAACGAAGGAATTGACTAATAGTCTTACGATGAGTATAGTGTTAGGAATAAATCTTTGTAATGAATGTTCGGATATAACAAACTTACTTTAGTGTGAGATGCAGCTTTGTTATAATCAGGTGTGAGTGTGTACCAACGCTGTTTGGGAACAATTTAACTGCAGCTTCAAGAAATGTTTGTTCACATTGTGGGACAGATTACACTGTATTTTTATTATCGTAGTTTGGTGCACATTTAAGTAAACACTAAAGATGAATGCGTGGAGTACAGTTTGTAGTGTAATCAACACTGGGGCATTTATTAGCATCTTTTGCACAACGGCGGGCTCGCCGGCGGAGTCATGCAAATAGCCGAAGTATCGCTGCAAAATACACTGGAGTTCTAATAGAATTTTTTCACCAAACAACACACGCAGCAGACCGCAAACTTGAGCAAAACATAATCTAGCATTTCAGTTGAGCTTGGTCCCTTTTCGGTGCCTTTTTTTTTTATGGCGTCCACACAAAAATTATAATTCGGAGCATTTCACGTGAACACTATTTTTGTTCGCTCATTCAGGCATCTTGGGCATACGTGCCCCTCGCACTTTAAATATTTCAGTGTGCCATGGATATATTAAAATGTGCTGCAATGTGTCTCATTTATTACTGGAAATTAGATGCAATATTTAATTGTGGCAAAAATGTTCTCTTCCTTCAGTTCAAGTGTCTTTATACCTACTGATTCTTCTCATTCTTTTCAGGTGAGGCCGGGTGTAAGGAGGCAATTCATAATAAAGTTCAACTGTTTATTTTCAAATTACTAGGTTGTTGACTGTTTCTTTGGCAAAAAGTAGATTCTTTTTGTTGCAGTTATGGACTGTGCTACACTTTTTCGGAAGCACAGCGAATGCTGCAAGATCCACTGCGGAATGAGAGGTTATGTTGCCAGATTGGGTGTTTTATTGAGGCGAAAGTTTTTAGACGCCTTATCAAAGTAGAAAATGGACTGCCGGTGGCAGCATCAACACAGAGTGATGCGAAAAATTGTTCTCAAGACGTCACTGATTGCCCAATGTCATTATGCGGCTGATGATTTCATCATACGGCTTAACCACTTGGTCAAAGGTAGGCTAATTCTGAAAGCACTGCTCCAAAATTATCTTTGTTGCAGAAAGCCTTTGGGGCGGGGTTGAAGGATCAGTACAATCTACCGAGGAGGAGGAGAAACAAAAGAAAAAGACGACTCTTGCTTTCAAGTCAACCTATGCGAGCACATAAGGGACTGTAGGATTTTTGCTTAACAGGGATCCATGCTCAAAACTTGAAACCACACAATGTTATTAAGAGTGTTGTGTGCCACTGAAAGGTATCGCTCAACGTTACTGAAAGCCAGCAGATAATAAAGCAAAGGAAAGTATAGGGTACGTTAATTGTACTTTTTTTAAGTGTATCAGGAGCATGCACTAAAACTGAGCCGCAAGGTGGCCCTGCAGTACGACGGGTCGGGTGTCATTTTTGAAGTCATCAGGCAGGATACGACCCGTGCTTGTCACTGTTAGCTGTGCTTTTGTGGTGGGTGTTATGTGGTTTTCCCAAGCCTTCCGCGTCCTCGTGTGTTGCATTGACATAACTGCGGGGAATTCGCTTCTTGCTTGACCTAAGGCGTGCGGTAGCAGCGTTGGAAGTTTACTCTGTTGCGACTGTTGTTCCTTCATTCACTTCAGTTTTAGTGCTGCTCGCAGTCATGGCTGCAAAAAGGCTTTTTTTATTCCATTCAATATGCTTAGTTCAGTTCAGTCTCGCATTTCGTGCTGCCCTACTAATAATTTGGTCATCATTTAAAAAAAAATAGGGGAGGTCACTGCACGCTTTCTGATGAGCAGACAAGTCTCCTCCGCCACTTGATGTGACGTACGTTCCATGTCGTTTCCGTGCCCCGTCTGTAGTGTGCACACGGGACAAACGTATGTGATACACATTCGTTACTTATTCGGTGAATCTAGTGGCACGGGTAGTGATGCGAATACTCCTTGGTTTTCTGTTTTCACAGCTTGCACAAAAGCGTGACGTGGCATGGCACAATGAACATGACTCGTACGCTTGTGTAGCAATTTTTGCACATAGTGAAATCTAGCGTGTGTATAAGGAAGTGTTTTCACATGCCTACAGCTATCACTCACGGGCTCAAGACGTACTGTTTCTGTTGTTTTATAACTTCTTCAATCTTGTTTCGGCTACTACCTTCTGTGGCGGCTACGTGTCACGGAAGCCTTTAGATGCTTTGTCAGGGCTCAATGGGTGACGTCATCAAAACCCCCTAAACAAACTGCTTGTTTTTTAAATGCTATCTCTCCTGCTCACTTAACAAGCAGCACACAGTGTTCTTTTTTGTCATTTCTGCCCCACCGCGGTGGTCTAGTGGCTGAGGTACTCGGCTGCTGACCCGCAGGTCGCGGGATCGAATCCCGGCTGCATTTCCGATGGAGGCGGAAATGCTGTAGGCTCGTGTGCTCAAATTCGGGTGCACAGTTAAAGAACCCCAGGGGGTCAAAATTTCAGGAGCCCTGCACTAGGGCGTATCACATAATCATATGGTGGTTTTGGGACGTTGAACCCCACATATCAATATCTTTTGTCTTTTCTGGCATTTATCTGAGAAATTGTAACTAACCTCGGAGACCACAGGCCATCTGGAATTTTTTTTTTCTAATGAAGTACTGTCCGTCATTAACACAACTGATTTTAAAGGGGCCCCAAAACACCTTTTTTTTTAAGTAACCGTAGAACGTATTCACTAAAATAGCTTATTGCCCCACGAATTCAACGCCGCAAAATTTGTAAGAATTGGTCCAGTACGAGCCGAATAGGAAAGATTTGTTGCACGCTGCAATCGCTTTCTCTCTTCTCCTCGTCCCAACGAAAGCGCTGGAAGCTAAAGAAGGAGGGATGGCCGGTGCAAAGAAAATACGCCATGTGCACCTCGTGACCTTAAGCAATTTTCTTTTCTTTTTTTCAAATACACGGATTTTCTATGTGATTGCGCGCGCGCGCGTGGACAGGTGGCGGCGTCTGGCGGCGATCCCTGTAACGACGGAGCTCGCCTTGTTCAATTAAGCCAATGGCTGATAGATGGCCTTATACGAGTGAATTTTAAGCTTCCTCGGTCATTTGCCGAGAGAAGAGAGCAATTTCCTCTTTTTGATAACTTATTGTGAATTCCAGGCTGCGTGCTGCGCTAAATTATTCGGCTCGCGTGTTCTCCGGAGCCTCTGCAACCTATCAGCACCGTTTTCTTACCATCTTCAAAAAAGTGGTCAGAGCAACAGAAAGAGTTTGCTGCGAATTGCTTTTCGTTTGCGTATGTCAGGGGTACTTTTATGCTTTCTCTTTTGAAACCATCAGTCCACAGAGGGGGGGGGGGGGGGATCAATCACCGCCATTGCTGAGGAGCAAAACGTACTCTGCAAACGGTAAATTGCTGAGATATTTCTTATCAACCAAGTTGTTCGAATACTTCTGGGTAATATCTGCTTTTCGGGGGTAGAAGGTGTACTCGCACAGCGTGCGCGCACAACTCATCAATGCATCCTTTCAACAAAGCCTCCTTGGGTACCGCCAAATCCCCACTGTGATGTTGTAAATACCGTGTTCAGGCGGTTGTAGCGCAAGCGGTGATTTTTCGTTGCGTCCATAAAGGAAACGGAAGTTAATTACAGCATTCGACTGCAACGCAAGGGTTGAGTTTATAGCAAACAATTGCAATAAATAAAAAAATAAATAGAAACACTCGTTTCGTTCAATTAATTACTACGACAGACAGTTATAGCGTAGCGTGACCGTAATATCGACGGTTAAGAGAAAAGCCTTACCATGCCACCAACGCATGATGCCGTTTGATGCATTCAGTGGCGCAGCCATGAGGGTCGCATACCTGCCCCACGCCCCCGCCCCTGCCTACATTTTTTCGCCATGGCATCATACAGGGCGATATAATGACAATTTCAAGAGAATGCCGTCCCCGAAAAAAAACTATCCTGTCTACGCCATAGGGCCATACCATGCTGAATGCGCCGGTGCTCGTCCTAGGCCTCTGCATATGCAGTAGTTCTTAAACCGACTCCAGTTTCTTGGCGTGATTGTATCTAATCTGTTATCTAACAGACCATCTGGTTCGATCCGCTTAGCCCGTTTCTACTTCGATGACACGAATCAACACTGTCGTCGGTGTTTGCAAACACCGACGTCTATTGATTGATTCGCACACATTGTAGTAGAAATCTTGGGGCTTCTAATCGTTGCTTAGGTTATCAAACAGATGTACGGCGGGCAATCTCAAACTTTGGCGTAGAAAGAAGACGGCGAGACAAAAGGACAAGTCTGTGGCACATCTGGAAGCACCTCGGGTCGATCGTTTAGGCGCGAGGTGTCGCTTCTAGCTGTACGTCGAAAGCGTGGGCGTGTTTGGTAGCATTGCTGTAGGTTTGGTTTTTGACAGGCATTTGAGAAGCGTTTACGACGAGGCGCACGTGTTCAGGTAAGAGTCCGGCTCATAACGAACGTAGATCGATTATTCACGACACCCAGGTTGCCGCGACTTTCAAAAGTACGCATTGTATAGCGGTATACCACACCTATACCAAATGTACAAGTCGAGAAAGAGACGCGGTCTTCACAAAAACTCCACGAGTGCGTTCCCGCGCCAAATAACGCTTATATATCATGTGGGCAGTTCTGTTGTATAGCTTGGAAAGTGCTAATAATCTCAAAATTTCACACACTTAGATGGAACGTATTTCACTATGTCGAAGGCATCGCAAATAGTGCGCTGTTGCATGGGAATGAAATGTGTTGATGTCAGAACGAAGGAAGTGCCGCGTTTTGCATTTTTGCATCGTTTAGTGCGTGACGCGTCAATGTGCTGCAATTTTTTTTTCGAAAGTCTGGATTGTCAGACGCGAAAAAGAGGTCGTACAGGTTACCTGCGATGTGTTCTGCTTGGACAGCAACTGAATGTCGAGGCATACGTGGAGAGCGTCATGCTTCAAAATTACCACGGCCATTAGGTCGCACGCCTCCTCGAACAAGTAGTGTGTTATATATGTGGTACCTGCACTTGTGGACATTTCTTAAACGAGTCACACCAGCTTGCGATTGAACTTGAAACACCAACAAGTTCGCGTGTTCGGCCATGACGGGCTAAAGGGAAGATGCGACGAGCGCTCTCATTAACGCGTGCGTAGCGTCTGCCCTCTAGTGCCTGGATTCCGGCAGACCAACAGCGCTATGAGTGGCTTTTACACTGACACTGTCATGCGTGCTTTTACACTGGGTGATAGTTATAGCGCGAGAACAGAACGACGACAAAGGGATACGAAGGAGACGGGCGCTAACTTCCAACTGATTTTATTGCGCAGAGCCAACACCACCTAGATGCAGAGCGCGAGAACATACAAAGAAGGCAGTAAACAAACACTGGGCTTTCAAGGCGCGCATCACCCTTCCTCCGTGCGCATCACGGAGGACGTAGCGCGCTTGAAGAAGCGAAATCGAATGGGGGGGCGGGGGGGGGGGGGGGGGGGAGGCCGGAGGCTCCGCGAACGGAAAAGGAAAACAGAAACTAAATTTCGCATTGGTCGTACGTAACGGTCTCATCAGTAGTGGTCGTGAAATTCGTCCGCCGGTGTGTGTACCATGCGGTCAGTTGTACAATTCGCGCGCCCGCCGAAATTGAAGCTTCACGTGTTACGCTAAAACAATGCTCGTTACGTTGCTTGCGTAACGTAATGAGCAAGCATTACTTTGCTTGCGCCACCTATCGGA